CATGAACATTCACGGTTCAGGCGCCGCCAGTTAAACCAAACCTGTTTAGAGAACATTGCCGCTTCAGATGCAGTCTATGTGAAATTCAATTTTCTGCGACTGGTGGAAACTTTTCTTAGTTCTGACCTGTGACAGAAAGCAAACTCAGTTTGGAAGCCAAGATGACTTACATCTAGGAACTCTGATGTCAAAGAATAAATGCCTTGTACAACAGCAGCAGCACTGTGTGTTTGTGTTTGTGTGTGTGTGTGCGTGTGTATGTGTGTGTGTGTATGTGTGTGTGTGCGTGTGTTTGTGTTTGTGTATGGGTGTGCGCTCATGTGTGTATGTATTTGTGTGTATGTATGTATGTGTGTGTGTGTGTGTGTTTGTGTGTGTGTGTGTGTGTGTGTGTGTGTTTATGGGTGTGGGTGTGTGAGAGTGAGAGAAAGAGAGGAAAAAGAGAGAGATAGAGAGGAGAAGAGAGAGAGAGAGAGAGAGAGAGAGGGAGAGAGAGAGAGAGAGAGAGAGAGAATGTCTTCGTTTCTATCTACCTGTCTGCCTGTCCGTATGTCTGTACTCGTATGTTATACTAACAACATCGTACCCAACGAAATGGCTTGCACCGATATTGTGTGTCTAATTTCTAACCAACTATTTTGTCGAAAGTGTGATTCCCCTCATTAAACCACATTGCACTAGTTTTAAGCCGCTGTGGGCTTGATTAAATTTTAATAATTCTAAGTCGCATTAAAGAAAAATGCTTTATCTCAAATCAAAGAGAGTATGGAGCTTGCGTGGCGATATAATAGTAAAATATCAGAAGTTCAAATTTAAGATATTTTCAAAGGGAAGTATTTCTACATGTATTTCTAATCTATAAGATCGGACTAAGAAAGTAACCATAGCGATATTTTTCTGATTATAAATTGTGTGTCAAAAGTGCACCAAAAACTAGTTAAAGAAGCAAAATTCCCTACTCAATATCCCTATCCCAAAAGCCAATGGGAGAAATGGCGTCATGTTTTGAGCTCAGCCACACAGTTCACTAAATTGCCAACTTAATCGATGTCTGCTCTTGTTGATCGAGGAGACTCCAAAGGAGGAACTACTTCTTCATAAGTCTGTTATTTGAGCTGTCGCCTTTTCTTCAGCACAAAAAATAACCATGAAAGTAGGCAAAATAGTGTACTTGTGTGTGCCCAGTTTGTTGTCTCAAACCTTGAAGCCCCGGCCGTCTTTGTCAACAGCTGAACGAGTCCGGCAAACGGTTCCTGAAGCTGACCAAGGAGACATGGAGCACCCACGTGAACCGGTCCCTGGCCTCTGGAACTTCCTTTAACCTGCGCGCTTTCCAAGGCGACTACGAGGCTGTGGTCTGGTACAAGGGCAAGCCGATAAAGAGGACCACCTTCAGTCTGGGCAAAGCGGACAAAACAGTTTCTATTTCTGTTTCTGGCAACGGCAGTAAGTCCCTCACAGTGTTCCTTGTGTCTTTCTGGCCATTTTGTCACTGGAAATTGATGATATGGAGTTTTTACTTATTTGATCTCTATACCAAAGTCTGAACGAGAGTTATCGGGAGCAATCGTGTGTTGAGCACGTCTTAAATGTTACTGAAAAACCAACGTGCTGGATTAATCAAAATACTCAGTCTCATACTGCGCTTTAAAGTGTGGTTGCAATTGAACTTCCAGCTAGAAAGTAAGGAAGATACCTTTACAAAACAAACTGACCACTACTAAAGTCAACTTTCAAGTTCACAACCGACCTAAGCATCCCCTCTGACACATTATATATGTGCCAGAGCAAAGAAATAAGTACAAGTAGAGTAGCAACTCGGACAACGTTACAACAATAGCTGTATGATTCACTCTCTTTTGATACGCTTTACACTCATTGTCGAAATGAAAGTCATGATATTATAATCTTTGTAAGCAAGCTGCTCTAGAAAAATTATCAGCAGAGCATTACTTTTAGTGCAAAACACTATGCTACCTTGTTCACAAGAGAAACATTTTTTTCTGAGATGAGTGGGAAAATGATCGTATCATCCTGATCCAGTTTGGCAATAGTATTGCAAGACCAACTTCCCGGTAAAACTGATTGTGGAAACGAGCAATCCTCTCGATATCGAAGGGTTCTCAGTCCAACCACAAGATATCTGGCGACGCCAGATATTTGCCGGCCGGCGAACTGAAGGCATGACGACGAGGGAGCGGCGTCTTTGATGTTGTCCCAGGCGGAGTTGAAAATGCATTCCAAAATTTTCCTAAATATTGGTGGCGGAGCGGCGGGCGCGCTCGTCTCCGAAGCGAGTTCGAGCCTAGGTTCGGACACGGATTTTTTTCGCCCCCTCTGGCCCACCCAGCAGTAATGGGTACCTGACTTCGAGTTGGGGCAGTAAAGGCGGCGTGAAAAGGAACTGGCTACCCTACCACAATATGCCGAAGACCCAGGTAGTTGTCTCACTAACAAGGCAATCCCCAATGTCCGGATCGGATGCGGGAACAACTTTACTTTTTATTGGTCACATCCAAAAAGTAATAAGATTTTCGTGATCAGCGACCCAAAATTAGTCAAAATCACAATTTAATGCCGGATTACTAGGTTAACTTTCTTGTGTGTGTTTTGTGTGTTTTGTCAAGGAGTGACACTTTAACGATAAAAAAACATTGTACCTCTAAATGGAACTTCTCTCGTCGACAAATTGTCAGTTTAACGATGACCCAGATCTAGCGTCCGTCGGTTAAACTGTCAGTTTGTCGGTGAATGAACTGTACGTGTAAAGGGACCCTTAGTGTTTTTCGAATGGTACTGTCAATTGATCCTCTCACGTGGCCAAAGCCCTTTATCATCGTCTTATTAAAGCTGGTTCATCCTGTCATTTTTTTTTCATTCCACATATCCAGTGTTGTGACTGTTGTCGTTTCATAGTTTTAAAACGAGATCAATTCATGTTGATAATGTCGCGTGCTAGAAACTCTCTCTGAAACATGTGGTTTTCACTTGCACCTGAAACAACGCATGCCACTCATGCACACGCGCATACATGAATTGAAAATCATTCTTTATAAAAGCTAGTTCTCGGTCTTCCCACTGGCGTCAGTATCGACTAAGTATCATCATTTCATCTCAGAATTAGCAAAAATATCCAAGAGGTAGGAGCTAAGTTGTGCCCCTTGAAATTCGCCTGAGACTCCATTGGAGCTCATATGACCTTATGCAGTTGCGAGCACCGTAAAACCCTCTACTATAAAAAAAAATAAGAACCCGGTTCGGCTAAGAACCATTTATCTCCCTGACAACTAGGGTTTTGGACGGAGACCAGTGTGTTTCAAAGTCACTTCTGAAGCCTCTAACCATTTCCCGACAGCTTTTGCCTTTTCACGTGTTAGAACCTACTTTTGATTATGTGAATGAAAGAATTGAAATAAACGCATAAAATATATCACTTTTTTATTTCCATCGAATTCCATCTCAGACGCGATCCAGTTGCCCAAGAAGATAGACCCGTTCTCCATGAATGTCCAGATCAACCCGCAGACCAACCGACTTCACCTGCGTACCCTGGGTCAGGCCAGATCCTCGTCACAGAATGCGCATCTCACGTGCACCACGCGCCGCTCACGCCTGTCTGCGGTCGGGGACGACAAGGCTGTTGATGTCGCATGCCAGGGAGACGAGGTCCTCACCAGCTGTTCTAGCTATCTTCAGGTTAGAATACCCAAAAAAATTATTGATAACGAAATACGCGAATCATCATCATCATCATCATCATCATCATCATCATCATCATCATCATCATCATCATCATCATCATCATTCACTTCCCAGGTGGCTCAATGCGCTTCACAATATGATAAAATTTCGACAGTGACACGTTTCATGCATACCGGTCCATTCAATGAACAGCAATCCTTTCAAAAGAAGACTTCAGTTGCCATCATTAGAGGAAACGACACCGTTTAAATCATTTAGGGGGGCGGGCCTCAACCCTGCCTGTCAGGGCCAACCAGGGCTGAGAAGGGTAAAACATCCCAGCAGAAAAACCGAGATACTCGATGAAAACTCTCCCCACTCGGGAACTCAGGTCTCCTGCGTACGATGGCCAAGCTTCTAACCGCTACACAACCGACGCCAGTGACCACTACTAAGAGAATTGGTCCCACAGGCCGCAGTTCCACAGTCCTCCAGTCCAGCGTGATCCCAACTCAGCTGACTGTGCGTCCTGGATTAAAATAAATGCCGTTATAAATCATTTCATCATCTTTATTTCATACGTCATGTTGTTTTACTTTCTACACAGCTGCACACCAGCGTCTGTGGTGTAGTGGCTCGGTACTTCGCTTTCACGTGTTGAAGACCAATGTTCCATTCCCTGGCGGGGAGGAGTACAGTATCACCATGTATCTGTTGGGACGTTGTATCTCTCTAAGACGAAGTTGGCCCAGACAGGCAGGTCGAAGCTGGCCCCCAAAATGTTAAGTCGTATTGATGGGGGCGTAAAAACACCTTCATGAAAAACACTTTACGCATAAATGCTAAAATGCACTTACGCTATTGCTCGGGTGCTTCACCACATTGTTCAAGCTTCGTTGTTTGACAGGATTGCTATTCGTTTCTTCCGTATCTTCGTACAAATCCTTGCTTTGTTCAAACTGAGTGCTGAGAAAATTTCAATGATCCAAAGAAAGACGAGAATATTATTTAGAAGAATTATTTTAATAGACACAACTGCTTCAAAGGCCTCCAATTTTTTGCTCACATGGTGTATAATGGTAAGGCACTTCACCCAGCACCCAAAAGCTGTAAGTTCGATTCCTTATAGTGATATTTTATCGAGTACATCCATCTGGCCAGTGTTGGCTCTTACAGGCTCCATCGAAGTGTCCTGCGTCCTGATTGGTCTAAATTGTATAGATTAAATTGTGAACAATAATTATCATTAATCCTTGACAATCATATTTCGTCCCTAGAACAATGACTGGCATCGTGATGGAGAGCAAATGATCATGTCCAATGGGAAGCCGGCTTGTCGAGCCATCGATGGATTCAGAACAACAGCAGGTTAGATGTTCTCTCAGTCTAATTTGTCTTTCATTCAGCTCCTTGGGGTAATTCATTGTTGGAATAATATAATGCAAAACGTGGCCTTAGATTCTTGAATCTAGTTCCTTACCAACTAACCACCCACCCCCACCCCCACCCCACCCCGCCTTCCCTCGGACCCTTCTTCCCTAATCTTACTATCTTTCCACAAGTGCCATACCCACGCAGTTAATACCGGTAATAAAGGAGTATAGAAAAGGAGGCTACTCATGTACCCCGATTGCACAACGTAGTGGGCACTGAACTCTACCATCAGACACGCACTCTGAAAATAGGATCAGACAAGCACTTCGAACGGCTAGCAAACGACAGTCTCTTTTGGGATCGTTTTGATTATGTTTAACTATACGTCTAATCTAAAGCCATTCTTCACTTCCATATCACAAGTTGTATTTTGGGTTGACTATCGGAATGCAACATTATGTTTTTCCAAGCGCTCAGAGTTGTCTCGTCTAAATACCACTCCCGTGTTGTGAAGTACCAAAGTACAAAAGGTTTATCAAGAGTTATTTCACACCTCAGTACCACAGTACCATACCTGAGACAAATTTCTTTCAAGAGCACATTGTACTAGATGCTCATCCGCATGTGTTCTCTCTTTGGGGGTTCATGGTGTTTATCCACACTTTTTGGGTCCACCCTCACCTCAATACCATACTCGTTCTGCGTTGCCTTTTAAAGTACAAGATATTCATCCTCACATTTAGAGTTAGAGTAATCCCTCATATCAAAACATGCCTATCAAGATATGCATCCACACGTCGAAAGTTAGTAACCATCTCACTATCATATGTAGTATGTTATCTCCAGAAGCACTAGAGATGTCTATCCACCCGTCTTACTAACATAATCTTGTTGTGCCCCCCCCCCCCCCTCCACCCCCCAGGGATTCAGGCCGTGGCTCGGTGCTGCAGTGTGCGGGGTCTGAGATGTGAGTACCGCACGGCAGGACCCTCTGGTACTGGGATGGACGACAAGGTGGAGGTGCCTTGTCAGGGGCAGGAACATCCCTTAGGTGAGTATACCTTATCTATATTTTCTGTCCACAAGTATCTATCTATCTACATGTCTGTCTCCTGCCCGCCACCACCCCCCTCCCCCTTCCCCTTTTTCCATTTTCTAAATACATCTTTAGTGGCCTTTTTCTGGCCATATGTAAATAATGTCAAATTGACAGAGAAAAAAAGACATGCATATGCAGATGGGAAAGAAATTGGTTGGGTTATTATGTAATACATGTACCGTCTTCGACACAGTTTTCCCCACTGAGTAAAAAATCAGCTCTGCGTTTTTAAACCTCACCTGCGGGGGGCTGTCGAGGTCGAAATGTCACGGCGTTCACCTCTCATTAAATTGGCTGTCCCCGTGGTTTTATGCACCCCGCATAATTTAGCAAAATTTGATCATTTTTTGCATAATGTCTGATTATTTTCCTTTGTCATTCTTTGTTAAAATTAACAGAATCGCATAATTTCACATTTTGGGGCTCAGTTTGCATAATTTCAGAATTTTTCTTGCATAAAACGACGGGGGTAGAATTGGTCCAGGGTTCGAATCCGGACAAAGACGGAAAATTTTGTTCTCTAAAATAATTTTCTCCTTTCACATCCTTTCCTGCTCTCTAACCATGTTCTGTCGTCTGCTTTCGTCTCCACTTTCTGTCCCCACCCCCTCACCTCCTTTGCCCCCTCCTCTGGGCTCCTGACTCTTTCTACAGCCTTTCTACTGCTACTCACTGGCTCCTTTCTGCTGTCTTTCAACCACACCTTTGTTCTTATGGTAGGTGACCTAACATCTAGCCTTCTCGTTGAAGGGCGAAAAATCTCGGAGGTCTCGTGAGCAAGTTTCGCACGTTAAAGATTCCTTGGTGGTCCAAAATTGATAAGAGTAGACATCGGCCGCCACCCCGGCAAAATTCAAAATTTCCTACCACGTGAAAATGTTTAATGTGTCCCTCGCGCTCATATGACCTTATGAAGTTGCGTGCGCTGTAAACACTTACAAAAAAAATACTACCAGCGATAGGACAACCAGAAAACGTGCCCAGTGGCAATAAACATGCCCAGGTAAAGAATCCATTGACATTTTGTGAAATTTGCACATTGCTTCTCCACAACACTCAGCCAATGTCTTGACCACTAAATCTCCTTTAAAAAATACGGGGAAAGAAAAAATACATATACGTGTAATACGCCACGTTCGTGTAAAGCAATTGAATTGTTGTTTTATCTCCTCATCCATACCTGTCTTGATATTGAAATAGATGCTTGTATCTGTTACTAATACTTGAGGTTAGGAGTAATAGAACAGAAATCAGACAATTTATTTATGAATTAGTCTTCAGATTTAGACAGATGGATATGATGACAGACAGACAGACAGACAGACAGACAGACAGACAGACAGACAGACAGACAGACAGATGAATCATTTGTCTATGTATGTTCCTCAGGCTGCGCGGCGTTCACCTACAATCTGGACTCGGACGGCGTTCTCTTCACCAACAACTCCTGTCTTGCAGAGAACGACGACCCCGTCACAGGTAAGATTATATGCAACCCATGACGCTTAAAACCACTATTTTTTCATGTACTTTGTTTCTATTTACATCTGAACCTGAAGAGCATACTTTTACTTTTGCCCCAAGGTAAAAAAAATAATTTGTAGGTCTATACGCGTCGTCAGTGTGGTCTCAAAACCACATCCTGTAGGCATTAATTCGTTAGAGAAAGTGATCAACAATTAATATTGTGGAGTCGCGTTGGTTGATGGTTCTTTTAACGCCTGCTTTCTCATACAATTCTGGCTTTTACTTTTATGGCAGAAACAAAAACGATTGCAAAGTTGGAAGACGCAATAGGAACGACCATTTGAGTCATGTACTTTTAAAATGGCATACTCGGGTACAATACTTGAAAATTGCCCTACGTATAGGCAGTAACAAAATTATTGTATCGTGGAACTCGAAAGGGTAAACGAAAGCTGGTTTTTCGACGCTTTCAACGAAACAAATCCATTCAATAAACAGAAATCGTAATAAATTAATCCTAATTTCCTTGAGACGGTACACAAATCATTAAAACTACAGTAGGCTACAAGTCCCCTGACCTAGCATGTTCTCAGAGTAACGGCAGATGGTAATAAATGTCTATCTCTGAACGGACGTTTTGACCAATTGATGCCGATTATGTCCGAAAGGCTTGATTTTGCCAGGGTGGGGAAGCTTTTCATCGAATATCTCCGCATATCAGCTGGCCGGTGTAACAAGCCAAAAACCGGGTAGAATTAGCCCGTCTCTCAAACGATCTATATTGAGTCTATAGGGATATAAAACAGATATAGTACATGTAAACGGTTAGCGATCGAGTCAGTAATTTGCCGTGCTGGAATAGACACCTCCACGTCTGACAGTTCTCAACTAGGAATTTTAAGACGTTTGCGTAGCTGTACTTTGCGTTTCCTCGGTAATTGTGTGGGTTTATTTCATTTCCGACATGTCTCGTGAATGGTAGTGTCTGCAGTGCAATTGTTCGTACTTGCAGGCTGAGACGTGAGTTCGATTCCCACGTGTGCCAGAAATTTTGGGGAGTACCTACGTCTTGCTATTGTGATGTGTCCCATACAGCTTGGATAGGTTCTGACTGTTAAAAGTCGTAGCAACCCACCATCAAGACTGTGACAATGGGTGTAAAAAACACGTCTCTTAAATACCCCCCTCCCCCAACCCAATGTCCCTGTCTTTGTTTTAAATTGAAAAATATTTTACTTTTCTTTCCTCCCACATCCCCCAACCTGTATCCCCGCCAGGTGTGTTTTCCTATGCGGCGTGCTGCCAGGGTTCCAACCTCCAGTGTCGCACAGTGACCTCCGGGCCGAGTGCTTTGAACAAGGGGGCTCAGGCCACGGTCAAGTGTCCTAATGGTTACGTCATGACCGGATGTAACGTCTACGCGAAGTATGGGAGAGCCGCTGGCGCTTATATTGGCAGTAAGTTCTTGTTTACTGGTGTGTGTGTGTGTGTGTGTGTGTGTGTGTGTGTGTATGTGTGTGTATGTGTGTGTGTGTGTGTGTGTGTGTGTGTGTGTGTGTGTGTGTGTGTGTGTGTGTGTGTGCGTGCGGGCGTGCGTGTGTGGGGGGGGGGGTGTATGTGTGTGTGTTTTCACCATCATTATCATCACCATGTCACTGTCATCATTGTTTAAAAGTAGTCAAAACAAAATAGGGATACTTCGGAATTGTGTCGAAATAGTATCTAAAAGGTTGTTAAACGTTTCATCCTGTTTGGCTCACCAGGAGCACAATATTCTCCTTTCAACTTCTTTCCTGTACTCTGATCTAGTCCTGTTCTGTCAACTGCTTTCAACTCCACGTTCTGTCCCCCACCCCCACCCCACCCCATCCTTGGCCTCCTCTCTTCTTTTACTTCGTGACTCTTTCTACTGCTACTCCTAGCTCCTTCTTACTGCTGTCTTTCAGCAACACCCATTACTCTCTTAGAGAAGGTAAGATCGAACATCTAGCTTTTTCAGATAAGGGTGAAAAATCTCGGAGGTCTTGGGTGCAAGTTGCGCAAATCAAAGTTTATAAATCCCTTGGCGGTCGTAAAATCGATGAGAATAGGCTGCGGCCGCCGCCTGAGCAAAATTCAAAATGAATTCCAACCAAAACTGGAAATACCGGTACTCTAGTCAGTGGGGAAGTGAAAGCACAGTATAGAGTACAGTACCTTCGAAATCGGAATGTGGCTGCCTGAGGGAAAGAAGAAGAAGAAGAAGAAGAAGAAGAAGAAGAAGAAGAAGAAGAAGAAGAAGACATGGTTTTCTCTTAGAAAAGAAAGGAATAGAGTTCTAAATGGTACGTATACATTATGTAGAATGACGAGGGAGTTCAGGGCAAGGCCCAAGACACTTTAACTCCAAAAACTAAAAATTCAGAGACGGTATCTTCATGTTCTAGCTCTAGGATCACGGTGTGTGTCACTCATCCATTCACGTGCACCTTTTCTCATCCCCACAGGCGCATCCTCGGGCGGCGACACGTGCTATGCTGTGAACGGAGCTGATAAGTTTGGGTCTGAGATAGGGGTCAAGGCTCAGGCCACCTGCTGTCGGACTTAACTGGATTAAAAATATGCTGGAACGTTCAGAGATAAGACAGACCGCTCAGAGATACATAGAAATACGACTGGAAAAGACAGCATTCTTCATAATCAATTTATATATACTCGTATATGATATGTAGCCTATACCAATTATATTACATGCTTTTTCTCTTTTTAAGATTGATTATGCATTACAGAATGTGCAATCAATGTAACTGTCTCAAAAGTCACCGTGAATGATTTGTACACAGCGAGGTTGTAGCATCCCAATATTCTACGGGAAACGTACCAATTTTCTAAAAGTTATTCAATGTCAAATGAAGCAAAGGCATGTGTTTCGACAATTAACACCATTTGTGTATCTTATTTATCTACCGTACCAAGTGTATACATATTATACAATGTGCTATAGTTTTGTTTTACCAATGTTGTAATTCGCTTCATTTTCTATTTTACTAACTTTGCTTAACACACACAAACAAACAAACACACACACACATCCCAAAGCGCCAATTCTGGGTCGATTCTCTGGACCTCCTACATTGACAGCATGCATTTGACAAATAGCCTTTGATCCAGAAGAACAATTTGCAAACACACACACGCGCGCACACACACACACACGCACGCGCGTGCGCGCGCACACACATATGTATACGCAAATATGCATACATAACACATGCCAGCGTGCTCAGTGAGAGAGAGCGTGGGAGAAGGAGGGAGGGGGAGAGAGAGGTTTTTTAAAGTTTTAGTAGAGGTTTTACGGAGCTCGCAACTGCATAAGGTCGTATGAGCACCAGAAGATTAGAGATGTTACAAAAGAGTAACAAACATAAAAAAGAAGGGGAGATAATGACGATAATGTTCGATAGGAAAGAAGAAGCAAACCACACCAGAGCACCCGCCAACCACCCACTCATGTACATGTAATTCCCCAACAAAAAAAAAAGACTTCAAATAAAGATCATACTGCAGAATCACTTCACTGGATGGGAAACAGTCGAGATATGTGTGCAGTGGCCTGAAAGTACTTAGTTTTCGTTTCAGTAAAAATGCTATGACACTTGTTATATGTATAATAAATAAGAGCCATTAAGAATTACTTAAGAGTCACGTGCGAATACAGGAAGGAGGAGAGATAAGGGCAATAGTTTTAGTTTTAGAAGAGGTTTTACGGTGTTCGCAACTGCATAAGGTCATGTGAGCGCCAGAAGATTAGAGGTGTTACAAGAGAGTAACAAACATAAAAAAGAAGGGAAGACAAGGACGATAGATGTTTCATAGGAAAGAAGAAGCAAACCACACTAGAGCACCCGCTGACCACCCACACCTATTAGCTGTACCTTCCAACAACCAGCCAGCTTTGAGAGAAAAGCACATCGACACAATAATGGCCATTTAGTGCAAGGAAAAAGTCAGACAGATAGACAGCAGCAACAGGAAAAGTAAGAAGTAGAACCTACCAGTGGCGGTCTCCAATCACCCGTTCAACCAGCAAATGGCATGAAAAACTAATACATGTATGTATTATCTGACAAAATTCCCCATATTTTCTTGTTGCTCTTATTAGCGAACGTGACCTTTCTTAGAGTTAGAGCAAAACAGGCAATAAAAAAAGCTCTGTACTTATGTTCAGCTGAGTTTGTAGGGTGGGCTTCTGACCCTGCCAGTCAGGGCCAACCCAAGCTGAGAGGGACACCTCCAAGTAGTAGTAAGACCTAGATTCTCTATAAAAATTGTCTTCCCTTTCAGGAATCGAACTCGCATCTCCTGCATGCTACACCAAAAGCGCCTAACCGCTACACCACAGATGCCTGTATTGTGGGACAAATACTCAACAACTTGTTACAAAAGAAAGACTCTTACAGACACTTTCCACCTCCAAGGAAGTTGAGCTCAAACCACAGATATATCTCAGAATATACCACAGGAAAAATGTAACATTCATTCAACGAAGAGAAAAAAAACCAAAAACATACTCATGACAAATCAAGTTACTACACAAGTCCTGGGGAATAAAAAATAACAGACACAAGATGTGATATATAAAAATTGAGCTAGCGTTTATTTGATACATGATGAAATGCAAGATGCAAACATAAGTACTCAAGACTAAATTTTCATATGGACAAAGATGAAAAGTAAGGAGGGGAGCAATGGTTGAGCACTCACCATCTATTCGTATACACAGCATGTGCACACACGTACACATAAACACAAAGACATTTACCACTCACCACAGTAAAAACAAGCTTTGTGCATGTGAAATCGTCATACCTTTTTCACTCTTCTTTTGAAAATTAAAAAAGTATAGTTCCATAAGCCACTACATTTCATGTATTTTGGGCACTGAAACCCTCCCCTGTTGGGAAATGATAAATGCAGCTCCACTCCAGTTTTACTTTTACAACATTTGAAATACAAATAGGTCATGTAAGTGCTGAAGCTTATTAGAGGAATTACTAGGGAGTAACATACAAAAAAAACTGGTCGCAGTGTTGGATCTTTTTTTTTTTTTTTTAGTGAGTTTTACAGCAGTTGTAACACAAATAAGTCGTATTTTGAGCCAAAGATTAGAGGTATTACTAAAGAGAACAATTATTTTTTTAAAGGATGAGAGATAAGGACAACAGATGTTTGATAAGAAAGAAAGAACTAACTATACCAGAGCACCTGCCAACCGCCCACTTTGTTTCAGGATATTTCCCTTAAAAAAAACAAAATATTAACATTATCAAACATTTTTACAAGTGGATTTACTGGATACAAAGATAGTGTTTCCGTATAACACAATGATGCTTCATGTGCTGGAATTTGACGGAAAAAAAACAATATAAATACAATTATGATAATCCTTACAAATCCAAACATGTTTCACAAGTCTTGAATCCAACCAACAAGTGTAAATCATCACTAAAGGTAAAAGTAGAAACACATACTACAATTGAGGACAAAAGCACAACTCATACATACTGTACATTGCTTACACTTTTGACTTAAACCCTCTGCAAATTTAAGCTGAATAACACAAGTCTCCCACATACACAGTTTTTCCGACTGTACTTAAAACAGAAGATGGGGGGAGGGGAAGGGAGTGGAGGGGATGGGGTGGAAGAGAGGTTGTGGTGTGTTATTAACACAGACAATGGGACACACATGAGACAAATTGAAGAGAGCGGTGGGTACGCAAGCCCAAAACACGAGAACTTTCTTTTTTTTTTTTATTAGGAGGATTAAGACAATAGCACCCCAGAAAAGAAATATAGGGAGGCACATAGCTGGAATGAATGCAAGCCTCCTGGCTTATGTGTCTCCAAAGTCTACATTGCTTGACATCATGCGTAGGTCTGCAGTCAGAAGAAACATTGCTCAAGTCACAAACAAACATCACATCATGAGGAAAAAAATGATGCATCTTGGAGGACAAGGTTTGTATTTGCTCCAAAACAAAAAAAATCCATCCACTCTGCATTACAAGTTGGTCAAGAGAAGACAGGAACAAGTGGAGGCTTCAAGTCGTACCCAAAGACAAAAGGCAGTGTGTGCACTTAAAGCCACAAAAAGAACATTATTTTTATAAGTTTGAAACAGAAAACTGAACAGAGTTCTGCACAAAACGTTCAAAGAAACACATTTTTAAACACTGCCTTCCTCTACCACTAGGAACAAAGAGCATTGCAATAAATTTCCAGTCATTATCTATAAAAATTTTAGGAATGTGGGTTATCTTTCATATGACCCAAAAAATGTCAATAGGGAAACAGAGAGGGGGATAAAAATGTTTGTTCACTTTGGACAAAAGTGTTGTCCACTTCATCAATATTCATGATGGCTGACAAGACTGAGGGGAAAAGAAAGATATGGGGGGTGTGTTAACATGAATTTTCTAAAATCCAACCGGGGTCTTAGAACAAGCCAATACTTTAAAACTTGTGGTTTAACTGTAATTGTCTTACCTAAAAACCATGAACATTTATTAATATTAATACATGTTTATAATACAACAAATCGCATTCATCATACAAAATGGACTTTACAAGGTTTTTAATCTTAGCAAGAAGGCACACTGTATGGCTACAGTGGGCTTATTCTAAATAAACTAAGAGGGCCGTTTTATTTTGAAGGAAACAAGAAAAAAAAATCATCGGGGCCATGACTATTTATCTGCCAGATGAAAAGGAGTTTCTTTGAGTGAGTTTATTGCAAAGAGCATGTTAAGTTGAGACAAGCGAGGTTACAGTTGGGAGGCCCGAGGTAGACCTGTCGTACTCGAGGTAGAACTAGTGACAGAAAACAAAGATATCTTGGAAGCTCTGAGTAAACAAGGTCAACAGTGGAATAAAATTATACAGCTACCTTGGTCTTCGCATTGTCAAAGCAAAACATGGGCAGTGAAGAGACTAAAAATAATCTTCGTCTATGTTCTATACAATCTGTACAAAGAGTTTTGATTTTGTCCCACTCGCACAGAAGATGAAGTAGTTCTGGCAGCATTCTGCTTCAGTGTTAGTACTACTTTATCTCACACTTCTACCAGTTAGGAAGCCAAAACTCCACTGAAAAATAAGGCAAATATGGTAACTGCTCTAGGTTTCATTATCACGGAACTTCAGTACCACAAGAACAGTTCCTTATTTGTAATAAAATTGATGATTACAATGAAGATGGCATAGGCTTATTAGTGGCAGGTGAGAGAGATGAAAAATATGCTCATTATCTTTTATACATTATGCCGATGTGCTGTGAACAATGTAAGAGCCAAATACAAAAGAAATTTGAAAACATGCCAAACGCTGAGTATTACAAACGCCACATATAATTTTTTTAATGGAAAAAGCAGTGTTTTTTCAGAGACAGCTCACAATGTAGACTCAAGTATAATCCACAAGTACAAAAATTATGAAGACTTGTAAAACAAAAAATGTATAAGTAGGATGAATGTATTCTTGCTGTTGAGAAGGAGCAAATGCATGACAAACCTGCCTAACATGTACATTTAGGTATGTTGAAGTGAATATGGAATATATACAAGGTACAAATACATGAAGAGTACAGAGGGAAAATGGCATTAGTCAGTTTTCCATTTTTGTCTTTTGATCTATTGTTTGGTTTGTTCCGCACCATCAATCAATATCATTCCTATCAGAAACAGCTGCGCTGCAGTCACGTACTAATGACATATTTAGAACATTTGTATACGGAAAGAATGGCAGTAGTCCATATGAACACTTCAAAGAAAGACACAAATCCTCAACATTTTTCTCACACATGATGCCGTTTTCCCCCTGATGTCCTCAAATTAGTTCTTGACAGAAATTCAGTTAGGTCCTGAACCCTTCAAAGCTCAGAAACTACTGCAACTTCTTTACAAAATGGAATGTCAGCTTTATATCGAAAAGAAATGCCAAATACGAGGAGGGAAAAAAAAAATTGTAAAGATACAAGACTGTTTCTCATTTGTTTTCAAGTGGGGTACACAGCTGCTTTCTTATGGCAGAAAAGTTGTCAGCTGAAGACTTTTCTTTACACCATTTAGCCCTACCTTTCAAATGGCTAAAAAACATAAACAACTTGGGAGCAAAATAGATGTTATGAAGAATGCCTCAAACTTAATTTGAAATAAAAATACTTTGCTTTACAACTGTCAGAATTTTGCATGTTCTTTCACAGAAAAAAATATGCCTTTTCTGCAAACCCAAAAAATTAAAGGACAGTAGTTTTTCAACTTCAAAATTCACGACCAGGCACTTTGTAACTGAACTAGGTGGCGGCCTGAAAACAGAATCTTTACAGTACAGAAACCCAAATATACGGATCTCTGCTTGAGGTCTACCATGGATTAATTCATGCTCAAGAGGTCGAGTTAGTGCTAAAATATTGATTTTTTAAAAGCAAATCTAGACAGAAAAATATATCCTGAACCACTGAACTAGGTCTTAAACCTGCAAAATGGGTGAAAACGGCTTTGTTAAAGTAGCTCTAAACATGTTAAGGGTTTTCAAATATCTCAATGCGGGCATGGAATTATATCCCTTGATGTGTTCAGTACCAACATTTGTACCCAAAAAACTTAGGGCACACAAACTGTTTTTTTTTTCTTTTTTAAATTTAATTTTTAGGGCTATGTTACAATGATGATGATTTTACCAAATCTGCCTTTTCAATCTGTTTTTTTTTTTTTTTTAAAGTGCTCCTGTTTTCAGAGGGTTTTGAACAAATTAATGTTTTTGAAATAGAATACGATTCAGAGTACCTTAGCAATAATTTCAAATCACGTACCTGTCAAACATTAACAAACACAAAATTCCCTTAAAAATTAGTGCATATTTATATTTAATATCCACTGCAATTTTCAAGGATACTGCGCTATAGGTAAGTAAGTAATTTGTAATGCTAGATTACATCATTTTGCAGGCAACCAAGTAGGACTGAAAGATCAAAGAGTCAAAATCTTAGAGAACCCTATTATATCACCAGGATATGACTCAAAACGATACTTCAGTTATACATAACAAAAATTTTGTTGTCTTTGGAGTGTCTCCCTTTATGTTAGTTCACACTAGCATCTAATGAAGAAATTGCATATAAATTCATAAACGATAATTGTGTCGATAATGCATAGTTAACTACAATGCTCTACAAGATCAGCAAATAAGTACAACTGTACTTATTTTTAGACAACCAGGGGCCATTAGGACCAAAAGGCTGCAACTATAATCTTTCCGATTAAGCACACAAAGTGGGCTTCCTTAAGTGTGAAAATGAGGCACTCGCTTTCGTCTCAAGTTCGCAACTATAACTAGAAAACCAGGAGACTCACCCTTTTCAGCTGTGCTTCTAAAAAAATATTGCAACAGAATAAGGTACAAAAATAGAAAGCTTGCCTAAAATGCTAAAACTAAAGCAAAACGAGGGGATATTTGCAAAAAGTTAAGTCCAGATCTTCATGATCCACAGCAGACCAACTTTGCATACAATGTAAAAGGAAGTAGGCTTCAAATTCTGAGTAATGGGGAACAAAAGGAAAATAAAAGAATCTGTAAAGTTCGCATTTACGAAAACAATGAAAGTTTAAGGCTATGACTGACAGGAGCTTCATATGCTGGACAAAAAATTACCAACAAAAAAACTTCAGGTTGTTTAAAAACACACATGAGGTCAAGGGCAAAAGTAGGAACCAAGTATTTAACTATTTGACCTCACTTGTAACAAAAATATTTCTACTGACTTCCACAGATTTTTCCCACTCGCACATCAGTTTGATAGAAATATTTACTATATTAGTACATCAAAAGAAAGGGAAAATAAATTCATGCAAACTTGCCTTCACCGGTCCCAACAAGGGGGATTAAGTAGTAGCCATAAGCAGAAATAGATCAACATAGCAATTCCTCCAAAAAAGAGGATTCAAATGTGTCCTAACCCTCCACTACACCCAACTTCTTCACTGTCAGTGTCAGATACAACCAACTCTACTGCTTTCAGTAAAATTGTCATCTACAATCTACATTTGTCAGACTGGAATCAGAAAGTTCATCGAGATACACAGTCTTTCAGTAAGTTTCTTATTTCCTAGAGAAGGCACAAAACACCAGATACATCAAGACTTTCGCAATTTCAAATGCCCTGATTTAACCTCATAACCCTTCACCGTCACGTGAACAGAGCCTCAAACAACTTACATCTCAGATCCAGTACCAAACAATCAAAACAGAAAAACTTAACAGTAACAGCAATCATGTATCACCAAAGGTTTTGACAGAAGCCACAAGACAATATTATTAGTCACAGCACATAAGTTGGTCGTAAATCACTTTGCACTGCAAAATATGCTAATGAAGAATGGCATTAATATATCCTTGAAATCTTTGTGAACTACCCAACAATAAGGTAAAGCTGAACGGTTTTAAGTCTTTGTTACTATAGTAGTATGCTTCATATTATAAAACTCGAGCTGTCAGCTCTACATCCGTAACAGAACAGATCTGACAGGTCTCCTTTGCTGCTGAGAACATGTGCTGAGACCATAAACCATTATTATTAATAGAACTGAGAAACTAGTTATTATGTAGGGATAGACTCACCTTGTCAAACAAAATATTATTATCAGAATTACTAAAACTACAAGGCATTGATTATGCTGTGATTTTTACTTCAGTCCTACATTTCAGAAGTGGAAACTGCCTATATTTGCCATTTATCGAGGTTCACTGCAGAAGAAAACAAAACAACACGGAGAATAAAAGTTCCCAAGGGTCAGTTTACCATCAGTTACTTTTCACATGACAACATCTTCACTGTTAAGGCTCAAATAAGAATCAATACCACCTGAACTCTCTCTTACGCTTATTGAATTTCACAAAAAAAGGTGACCTAAACACATCAAGACAACTGAACTGAATTTTTTTGTTAAAAGGAGAAAAAAATCTCAGTTCTCAGTGATACCTGAACCAATGTACTGAAACACGTTAGGATGAGAAATAACACTGGAAAATATGGTCAACTGATTCCTCTTGCCACACCACTCATTTGGCACTGTACCAACACACAGCTGCCATATTGAATATATGTAAGGCAGGTTACAAAAATTCTTTACAAGTAAATGAAATGACAACAAAACATACCATCAGGAAAACACAAAGTCTGACAAATACTTTTCTTTCAAAATGTGAATCAAATAAAAATCAAAGGATCAATTAAGACCCATCCCATTTTAAACATTGGAATCATCGCTACCTTCTTTTATCCATATCTCGCCATCAAGGAAAGAATAGATCAATCATACTAACAAAAATGAAACAATACAAGAAAAGGATTAGTGATGTACTGCATATGAGGAAGGAACATGGCAAAAACACAAAATGGCCAACGATTATCATCAAAACATCAAAAGAAAGTCAATGCTCACATTTGCATAGAAATATAGTTTGGGTCTTCTTTTTACAGCTGCCTGCTCATATAAAAAGGTTGACATTTTTGACAACCTGCTGCATAAAAATACACAGGATGTACTTCAAGGTATAAAAATTCATGCTTAACTACTGTATGTCCCTTCACATGACAGCTGTACATTCAGATCTTTCACACAGTCCCACAGGCATCAGTCTCATCTGCCAGACTCGTAACCAGGGAACAACTTATTGAGGACATCTCCAAGTGTTTTGTTGATGGTCATGCTCATGCCTTTGTCAAGTTCAGCACGGCAGGCAGGACAAGAATAGACTTCCGCCTTGAAGGACCTCTGTAAGCAACCCTGATCAAAAGAGAAGAAGCCAAATGTGATTCATTACCAAAAGAAACTCTCTAGTACCGAATTTAAAAGGTTTTGAAAAAATTCCATCAAAAAGGCATTTTTTTCCAAACCCCCCCTCCCAAAGTACAATTACGACTGTTACCAAAAATGCCTTCCCTATCACACATTGCACCCTCACACAACAAATAGAAACTTTTTTTATTCCCTCTTCAATAACATTTAAAAAGTGAGAGACTTCAGAAATGCCCCTAAAAATACAATACAAGAAACTGTTTAAAGCAACACTTGTTTAAACTTGCAATACAGGCTGCACATACCTTGCATATATTGTGACTACAGTTGAGAGTAAGGGGTTTGCACACAATGTCCTGACAGCAAATGCACAGAAACACCTCCTCCACTTTGTCATGAAACACCTGTCAAAAAAACGTGAAGACAAAATGACTTACAAGACCCAAATCAGTAACACCAGTTTCTGCTCAACATTTCAAAGGCAGAGTACTTGAAAGAAAGACAAAAAGAAGAGAAGGCAGAGTAAACGTCACATGTGTGCTGTGTCTGAGTTTTGATGATTATGTGTTAGCATTTTCATACTTACTGCACTTATTAAAACTGGACAATATTTACTCACTACTTTACAGAAGGGATAAATGAGCAAACTCGACAAAGGCTAAAATGTCACATCTATTATTTCTTTTTTCCTTTTTTTTTAGTAGAGGTTTTACAGCGCTCGCAACTGCATGCATATGGTCATATGAGCGCCAGAAGATTAGGTGTTACAATAGAGTAACAAATATAAGAAAGAAGAAAGCAGGGTTGGGTTGATTTAAATCAAGTTGATTTAAATCAGTTTATTTTTTTAATTTAAATCAATTTGATTTTTTAAATAAAAATCAGTGATTTAAATCACTTTTTTAAATATTTTTTTAAAAAGTATTCTGTTTTTACATCTTTAAACATTGAGAATACCTTTCCTTGGTTTTATAAAACAGATATAAGGTTTAGTAGACTAAAATAATCATGCTTAAAAGTCTGCTTTCCCCCTTGTCACTGTAAGTAGTAAAATAATACTGTATTCAATTTACTTTTTTTTCATAATTGAAATTAGCATTTTCTTTTTCTTTTTAGACAAACACAAGCGTGCGCACACACACACACTGTAATAAAATGCAAGTTTATCTACGCATTTTAGACTGACATTTTCTTCTTTTTTGTCTGTAGCCATAATTCACTGATATAGCAGATTAAGGCTTTCTAAAATTGCAGTTGCTTAAATTAATCAGTTAAAATAAAGACAATGCATTTTGCACTAAAAGAACTTACTTTTAGCCACCAAAAATCCCAAACTGTGTTGACATTTTTTTTAAATAAAAAAAATCCGATTTAAATTTTAAAAATCTTGATTTAAATTTTTAAAAATCGATTTTTAAAATTTTTATTTTTAAAAAAATTTTAATCACCAACCCTGGAAGAAAGGGAGATAAGGACGATAGACGTTTGATAGGAAAGAAGAAGCAAACCACACCAGAGCACCTGCCAACCACCCACACACCTATTACAGAGATGAAAGTTAAGCAAAAATGTAAAAATATGCTCTTGCTTTTCTACTAGCAACATCAAGTACAAAATAATGTGATAAGGCCAGCAAACCCACATAATATCAATTTTTTTTGCATTTGACGAATCAATGGAAAATAGTCCATTTCAAACACTTCGTCAAAGACAGGTCTAAATTTTGACAAGCGATGCTCCTAAGGCGAACAATTCACTGGCTGCAAGGTTGCTGGCTGATAAAATCAAAGAAGTTCTTAAGCTTCTTCTGATTAATTGACCCCTACTGGCGTTTTCCTGTCTTATCAAAGGCCACAATACATCTGGTATACATTATAATGTGACAGCAATTAGCAGGTCAGGTACAGACTTTGGACACAATTTTTTTTTTAAATGTAATCATTGTCATCTACAGCAGTGCCCTGATAGGGGTTGAAGGGGCAACCACCAAAGCTGAACCACTTTTGAAAATACAACGGAACCTGTCCAAGATGACCAACCACTGTCAAGGAGAAAGCACGGGGTTCTCTCGGACTGTCATTAAAGTACAGCAAAAGATGAGGAGGAAATAGAAAGAGGTCAATTGTACAAGTGATTGTCTCAAACAAGTGATTATTAGAGCAGATTCAACTGTTTATTTGCCTCCAGGAGTCAAATTCCACAACCCCGATAGGGACTAACTTTATGACATTACTAGGTACATCACCAGGATAATGGCATACCTTTTCAAGTCCCATGACATATTGGGAGGAAGCTGACCCTCAAAACTCATTCATGGGTGGGTACTGTAATATACACCTGCATTTAGATCTACATATTACTTTGCTATGGCCAAAATCCATCTCCATTTGTTGTTGTGATATGATTTGGAGTATTATTCTTTGAACAGTTTAACTATTTTTGCTTACTTGGAAAATCCAATTGGTACAATCAAAGGCATATGTTCTTTCTATTTGCACCAAGGAAAACATTTACTAAAATAAAGAGCATATTGTATTAATGTTCTTACATATAATAATACCTTCATTGTCAACATTCAACTCCTTACCTTTGAGCCTCCTGACATACACTGCAGAGCTTCATCCCACAGCTTTTTGTTTACTTTATCATCTTCAATCAACTTTTTCACTTCATCACTAATGGAGTACTTCGTGGTTTTCTGTTTTTTCACATCGGAATCTGGTGTAGGTGCAGCTACTGCCACAAGAGAAGAGAACAATAATTCAATTACTCCCTTTCTTTTTTTCAAAAGTAACCAGCTTCTGCCAGCTTAGCAATTTATGTCTAAATAATCATCCGTGCATCTTCTTAAACGCTGTACTTTCAACAATGTTTTGCTCGAAAAATGATTTTGAACTTTTTCTACCGCACAGAACAGTGAATACTGCACATTAACTAATGTCCATCAAACAAGCAATTTTATGAGAGATGTAATTTTACACCTGTTCAAACCATCAAAAGCATTTTGAAACTTTTCATCATCAGTGTATAGCAGCACAGAGAATGAAAAATGCTAGATATACTTTGCTTTTACCACTGCACCACAAACTGTCTATAAATACAAGAAAAACTGTTTTCATACCTAAAAGGAACAGCGAACAAAAGGAGAATAATTTAATAAAGAAAACCGCAAAATACTCAAAAACATTTATGAAGAAACATACAAACCTTCAGACTTCCTTTTGCGACCTTTTTTCTTCCCTGGGGTATCTTCTTCTTTCTCTTTTTCCTTCTCCTTTTCTTTCTCTTTCTGAGATTCCAGATATCCTTCTGGATACTGAAATAAAAAATGACTTCCGTGACACAGGACATGAATCAGACAATATCCTTTTTCTCTGGAATAAGCCACTAGAATTGAGTGCTCCAAACAAACTATATTCCTCAACGTGTCTTATTCAAAACCTTCCAACCCATTAAGTATCGTTTCATCTTTTACAAAAGTATGCATGTAGGGTTAATATGCTGAAATATGAAGAATATTCATGATCTATGCATATTTTTCAATTGAACCCTATATTTCTTAATTTCTAAATGTCAGCAAGTTTATTTTCAACTGTCACAATAGTTTCAACTGATATACCCCAAGAAACAAAAGTACTATGAGCAAATTAAACTGTCGAAAGCAAGCAGTATACCTGCATCTCCAAGCCAAGTTCTTCAATCTTCTTCTGCCCAGCCTTGGTCCATGGGGCAGGTGAGGGGTCATCTCGTCTCAAAAGGTACCTCCACACCAGGAATCCAGACTTGCCCTTTTCAGGCCAGTACTTAATCACCTACATGAGTAAAAAAAGAAATTAATAAATTTTGACACAAAATACCACATGTACTTTATTACACCTTTATAGAAACATGTCTAACATGGCCATCCTGAAAGGCATACAAATCATACCTGTATGTGAAAAGCACAGCAGCATGAACGACAAATGGATGTGCCTAATTACGGGTGAGTGTCACCTTGTAACTTTCATTTATCAAAAGCAATCAAAAGATAAGAAAATTACCTTTAATCTAATATGTATCACTGGTCACTATGCAATCATAGACTTTTGAATGTAGTTTTGAGGTAGTTTCTTTGACCGCATGAAAATTTTAAAAAATTCTTGGGAGCAGAGTTAAGACATTAAAATGGACACTCCTAACTGATTCACAGCCAAGTATGGCAAAGCCTTCTATTAATATCATGCTTGTAGCTTTTAGTACTTTACCTTTAGAAATGACTAAACGTAAGATTAGAGCTAGTCTCCTTTTTACACAAGTTTTTAATTCTTTTCAAGAGCATGTATAACTCACTTTTTTTTAAAGACGCTATTTACAGTAAAGACAAAGGTACAAAAATGCATACGAGACCAATTCCTTTTCAATATCTTTTTAATGAACTGATGCCTATATATAGCAAAGAAACAGCAAAACATTACTACTTGTCAAGCGTCAAAATTATCTACAAGAATTTATTTGCAGCGGGTAAAATTTATCGTAAATAGTTATACTAGAAAAGCTGGCCTTTCATTGTTACACAACAAAAGAAAAAAAAACCCAGTTTACAAAATTTACAAGAAATTCAAAGAAAGTAGCTCCCATTGTATATCTGCTTTACTCTCTTCCATAGGTAAGTAATTTCACTATTTCAAAAAAGGTATCTTAAAAAGTTCCCAAATCATAAAAACATCAACTGTGGCAAAGGAATAGCATAGTCTTTTAAAAACAACCGAGTAGTATATTGATGAAACACTTACCTTATAAATACCATCATATCTGTTTCCTTCTTCTGGGGCAAACTTGGAATGTTTACGCCCTTTGCAATTACGCACAACCCTAACAGGTTTTCCTCCTCGCCAATCTTTGGCCTCACCTCCTTTCTTGCCATCCACAGGGGCATTGCAGTTCTTAGCCAATGCTCTGAAACAAGAACATTTTCAAAGGTAATCTTACTGAAAGGAAAAATTTCTCTGCCACACAAACTGAATCCTTACAATACTTGCAGAGGTTCTTTCTTTCCATAAAAGCAAAACTGTTGAAAACCTTACATCTCAAAATAAATCAACCCTTAATTCTTTGAATCCACAGTAGCATGATATTAATTATATTTCTTATACAGTAGTCTCCGCCTAAGATCCCGGTGCTCGGGAGCAAGGAAATGCGGGATCTTAGGCGAACCGGGATCTTAACCGACGAACCCAGGGAAGAATTTATGGTGACCCATGCTAAGGCTCACAATCGGTAAAATGGTCTCCCTCCACTCTAAAATGAACTGACGTGACCGCTTGGTGGGTTTATGACGTATGGCGAGCAAAGAGTGGTTAACCTTGATAACCTATCACAGTGCATAGTGGGATGAGACGTGCCATTTTCACTTATTATCCTATCATGAGTCTCAAGATCTACGCATATCCAGTTGCCCCTCCCCCTTACCTGTCGAAAATTTATAGCTTTCCATCTCTGACCGGGTCCCCTCCCCCCAACCGCCTTTGTCGTTACACACCTTTACGTTGTGAACACACCAATTAAAATTCAGTCTGTCTCGCAAATTCGGGAGTAAAGACAACTTCTGCAATGGTCAGGGAAGAGTTCACAGTTCTATGTGATCCCGCCTGGAGCGAACGTGTAGGTCCTACCCACCCAGCGAGTGATGTAAGTTAAGGGGGAGAGCTCAGGAGTGAGTGCGAGGTTCGGGGAAAACAAACATGTCGGTCAGTTCACACCGCAGTGTGATCCCGTCTGGGGCAAACATTGTATCGCTTCATCGAGTTTTACAACGTGTATGTTATCACATTCACGATAGTGGCTGATCTTTAACGCAACGGCGGTTTATTGATCTCAACTTTTCACTCTTGGTTGATCAGCTCTCCCGCCCGGGTCTTTGGTCCGCAAATTATGATTTGAAATGCGGGATCTTAGCCGAATGTAGACCTTCAGAGTGAATCAGAGCGGGATCTTAGGGGTGACTTTTGTATAGTAAAAATTCAGTTTTCTTAAAACAGAGGGATCTTAAGCGAACCGGGATCGTAAGCGGTGGGATCTTAGGCGGAGACTACTGTAGTTTGAAAAACTATCACTGCAAACTATCACATTGCATTCATTTCTAACAAAAAGAATATCAAATTTGACAACTTCAGATATTGAATCTACAAACTTGGCCCCCCAGGAAATCGCGGTCTTGCAGCCGCGTTATTCGTCGAGTTCCGCGATAAATCCGCAATTTTTTGCAATTTTAGGCAAAATAACATCAACGCTTTAGTTTTAACAGAATTTTTAATTCGAAATGATGCGAGTACAGAGCCGATAGGCCTACGTAAATCATGGTTTCGGCCCAGCTCTAGTCTACTGAGTGTACTCTAAAAGCTATAACTGGAAATTCAGGCTGGAATACATAATATACAACACAAACTGAGACAGAGTCATAGAGATCTAATGTCTGTAAGTGTAAGCGTGCGTGTGTGATAAGAAAGTAGGTGTGTGCGTGTGTGTGGTGTGCATGTGTGTGCGCTTGTAAGGAGTACGTGTGTGTGTGCGCGTGTGTGTGTGTGTGTGTGTGCACGCGCGCGTGAATATTGTTCGTACATGATGAATGAGTCCATATACACGGTAACCGGGCATCTAGTCACAGTATCTACGTACACGGTATCCGCAATGAAAATAAATCAATATTTGTCCTGTGCTGTCACTTGTTGAAAAAAAAAAGAAAGTCATACATGTACAAGCGTCTTGTCGGGCTCACCATCGTGACCGCTCAGTGAACCTGTGCTTTCGCATCACATTGTGAGTACCGGTTGGGGTCACCAAAGTTCATTCAAAGTCTGTGCGCTGCGAAGTATAGGGCTCCGTAACGGGGGGGATTATTGATTTTTTAAAAAGGTAGTCAGGAGAGGGCTGGGGTTGAAGGCAACGCCGGATGACGAAAACTGAACTTGGGGTTCTGAACTGCCCGGTTACCGAGTACATGACACTGAGACTACATGCCCGGTTGCCGGTTACCGTGTTAGACACTGGGGCTTGGTGCCCTTTTACTGTGTACGTAGACACTCCCTTAATAAAATTAATGTAGTAAAACGCCTTAAGCTGCGTTCACACGGGAGTAGTCGATATAGAAATAATCTACCTTATTATAATTACTATTAAATGGTGGAAAAAATTTGCTGTATTTTACGATTTGACTTAGAGTTAAAACAATGGCATACTGGTTTTAAAAAAGAAAATACCTGAAATAGATCTAAATACAGATTACCGATGTATCGAAGGTTTCAAAGGAAAAATAGAATAGGATCTGAATTGATTGGGGCATAAGCTAATTTTGCATTTAGAGGTTGTTCGAATCTCCCATCAATTTTTTTTGTTTTTATACTAAACCTCATACTACACTTCTAGATCTTTGCATGAACCAAGTACCCGGTATGTACTAAATTTGGTCAAATTTTATGTCTTCATTTAAAAGTTATTACGAAAACCGAGGGTTTGTTATTTTGGGTCATGCAGTATTATATTATATTTGGTCGATAACTTTATTGTTAACGTACTCGTGTGTTGTTACTAGTAAATGTTGTAAATAAAATTTGTATTGTGGGTGATGGGTTTTTTTAAAGGCTGTTCTGCTTTTATGCTACCGGTACTCAAATTGTCAAGTTTTTTCAACTAAAAATGTTAAGCCCTTATTAATGCGCCTGGGATGGGAAGGTTGCAATTTTTTGCAATTTTTCTACTTTAAAAATGCAATTTTCCACGGGGCCAGACAAACCATTCCCTTAAAAAAAAAAAGCTGAAAAAAAAATTGAAAGTGTAAGTTACAAAAATAATTCAGAGCTTTTGCATTGGACAGCTCAAATTGTTCACGCTCTGAGCAGAGTGTGTGTTATAAAGGTCATTGGGGAAATCAGTATAAAAAGCAGCATGATACAAAGACAACTGCGTGATAAAAAAAGACAACGGAGTGATCTGATACACTTTAAAGAGTAAAAACTTACTCGCAAAAAAAAACAACACATGGCTTTTAAGTTCCAGTTTCTGTCTATGGCACACTTTTCGCATCATAAAGACAAACCTGGCACAGAGATATAAAGTCATTAGCTAATCAGCTAATCATCAAGCCAGTCTGGAAAATGCTAGAGAAAAACAAGAAAGCTTCACAGACTGTTGGCATTCAACTGAGTAATAGCCATCTTTAATCTGTGTGTGTCCATGCACATGAATAACATTTAGCTCATTACTTAGAGTATCTGATGAAAGGACAAAGAATAGAGTGCTAATATCAATATACCTGTGGAAACAATGGCAGAAAAAGAGATCAACCCAAAGACGTCTTAAATTTATAGCGTCTGCTTGGAGCTTTACATGGACCAGAAGTAATAAATTGTATTGATCAGGTGCCAACGTGAACTTGTGCATCTTGAATCTTTCTTTAGTAACTAGAGCCACAGAAATTCCTGTAAATAACAAATTGTCGGTCAGCTGTTCAGATAACCTAAGCCCAATATTTTGTTGTTTTTTTTCCTGCAGTTTCTTAATCTGCGGGATAGGTTGCAGGTGCTCAAGACATATTTTGTCAAAAGTCAAATTCTAAATGTTGAAAAAAGCCTGAAATTTTTTTTACATAATTTAGGTAAACTCCCTGAAAAATTTTGCTTTCTAGGTTTACAACTGTAGAACAGCTTGCCGACAACATTGCTAATTACACACTCAGAAAGTTGATCCTCGATAGTTTTCTTTCTAGAGTCCAAAGACTTACTTGTTCATTCGTGTAAGAGTCTGGTCACAAGATTGTTCTGCCGTGCGCTTGTTTCCCGACAAATCCCTTCCACCACTGCCAGTGTAGAAAAACTCTTCTCCGTCATCCTGAAAAAGTGAATATAAATATTTCATGTCAGTGCAAAAAGATACCGTTTCAAAGAACTTCCAAACCAATCCTTTATACAAACTAGATAAAACTAAAAAAATTACAATTTTTTAAGTTAGTCTTTGAAGATCTGCAAATCCCTTGAAGACCAAAAAGGATTTCCCAGAATGTCCCCAAAAACTCATCCAGCCTCCTGTGGATTTTGGTTGACAGCTGCCCAAATACAATACTGTAACCATCTCTTCCAGCGGCATGTGTCATTCATATTCTCAAGCAGAAGCATATGTGTGTCTTTCAAGTATATACTGACAATCTATTTAAATTCATGGATTCTCAAAAGTAACAAATGTCTTTGATAATACAGACAACCACACAAGAAACAAGCATGTAGCAGAGAAGAGAATAGAACTACGTTACTTACAGCATCATCTTCATAGCCACCAGACAAAACAATAGAGAAAGCCCCATCCTCCTCTCGACCATGGATACCTGCTACATGGGGTCGATGTACTCCAGCTTCACTGACCTAAAGAGACATACACAAAATTTTCATAACACACCCAAACCCTTAGTAACTTCACATTTGACAAACTAATCTTCTCAGACTGTGACTTTGAAAAATTCGTATAACCATTACAAAAATGCAAAATGACTTCAACAATCTAAACAAAATAATCCCAATATTAAAAATATAAATCGTTTCATGAACTTCCTACCATGTCAAGACCCTCCACACTACAAAACATTTAATATTCCTGAAAATAGATCACAATTTAAAATGAAACAAGTACTGAATAGCCAAAACCAAAATTTAACACAACACTCAATTATTTATCAGATTTGGCTTTCAAATATTCAAGAACTTTAAGTATTTTCCCAGGTCATTCACGGGGCAATTTACAGATTTCCACACGCATTCATGGATTTTTTTCAAATTCTCAGATAATTCCCAAGGCTCCTAGGATTCTCGGGGCCTGTCAATCATCCTGTTAATACTCCTTTTAGTTTAGGATTGACTAAGAAAAAGCCCAATTTCTACCATCAACGTAAGGTGACGTACAATTCCCTAGAGCCCAGCATACTGGACATATTAATTATGTTTATACAGTCACAGCTGCACGTTAAATTCTTCAAGGCATGAAACAAAAGAGCAGGCTGATCACAAGAGAATTGATTAAATTTTCTGTGAAAATTCATCGATACAAATCCAGATGCCACAAAGTACCCAGGTCCAGGATAAGTCAAAGAAAGGGAGAAAATTGGAATCAGAAGGTAAATCACTCATTTTTTGTTTTACATGCAGTTGTTCATTTACAGATCATCCATAATTGTCAAAGGTTTCAGAGTAAATTTGATTATAACAACTCACTTCTTTCAAAATTGTTTTCATTCAAAAAAATGATTTTAACATTATCAGCCACACACCATGAAATTTACAGATTGTGCCATTGGTGCATGCAAATAAAAATTCACAATCAAGAACACTGCAAGTATATACAAGGCACTCACCACACTTATGACCTGCATTAGAACAATGAACAAGTGAGCTAAGAAATACACTTGAAAAAGCAAAATGTACAGTGTTACAATGCCCTGCACCCTCTTCATGTTTCCATCCCCTGTTCAACTGAAGGAAGATTCTAATTTTAAATTAAAAGACATAACAAAACAGTATACTAAATGACGAAAGATTTTGACAACTATTGATATTATGCTAAAATGAGGCCTCCATCTCCCACAAACAATCAATAATAACTCATTTCCGTCCCATTTCTTTTACATTTCTCAAACACATCCCTTTCATGGTGCAATGCAAAATTTTCACAAACTCGCTACAAAAAGATAAACACTGAAAAGAGCTTCTTCTTTCTAAATTTTGGCTAGGAATTTATTCAGATTTTCACCATTACAACATTGACAAGTACACCAGCGATTCTTTCATTTTCAGTTTGTAAGGAAGCGTTTCACAATTGTTACATACACTCTTAAGACCTGAAAGGTTTTTTGTCAAGATTACTAGGTGGTGTTCACCTCTCATTCAATAGATTCTCAGATTCGAAACCTGACAGTGAGGGAAAACTTTCTTCTCTAAAATGTTCTCCTTTTACCTCCTTTCCTGCTCTCTAATAATGCTGTCATCTGCTTTCATCTCCACTTTCTGCTCCCCTCCCCTTTCCCCATTCCTCTGGGCTCCTGACTCTTCTATTGCTACTCCTGGCTCCTTCTTACTGCTGTCTTTCAGCCATACCCTTGATCTTACGTGGATAAGGGCAAAAAAATTTCAAGTCTCATGTGCAAATTATACACGTTAAAGATCTTTTGGTGGTCCTAAAATCAATAAAAGTAGTCTTCAGCCTCCACCCAGGCAAAATTCAAAATTAATTTTTACCAAAATGAAAATGCTTAATGTGTCCCACACACTCATATGACTTAAGCAGTTGTGAGCACAGTAAAACACATCTTTTAAAAAGTTTTTAGGGTATCCCTGTTGTTCACAAGGAAAAGCAGAAAATTAACTGCATCTTACAAATAATCATTTTGTCATATTTAATTCTGTGTTCATTTCAAGGTTGCATTTGAGCTTGACAATTTTTTTTAACCCATTAATTACCTATATAAGTCCTATCACACACAACCCACTAAGAAAATTAAAGAAACACCAACCTGTACTCTGAATTTCCACATTGTTCCGACTTCAACACCTGGAATCGCACCATAATGGTTGGAAGACACAATGGTACACATCTTGCTCCTTCCTACACATGCCATACCCTACAAAAAAACAAGACATTATAACACAAAAGTACTCTTTTAAAAACAAGTTTCCTACAGTGACTGGTCTTATCAAAGAGTTATTACACATCAATAGAGACAACAGATAATTTGTCAAATACACTCAAACCTGTCGTTAACAAAATCACAAGGGAGCCAGAAAAAAAATTAGTTTAAAAAAATTTCTGCCTTGGAAAGAAGAATTTTGGGAGGAGATGCCTCTAGATTCGGTCGACAAGCATTGGTGAAAAACTATTCTTCGCAACTCCTAAGTGCTATCCTATTCATTCAGTTAACGGTATGTTTCAGCATTCTTACTAATCCATAAGTGCTTGAATCTAATTTAAACCACCATTTGACCAATGAAACACAATTTATGAAACATCTCCAACAACCAACGCCACCCCTATCCTGCATGTAATGATTTGGGGAACTTTTTTCTTGGGACAGGCCATACGATAAGGGCAGTAGACAGCGATCATAATTTCACACCTCTGGCTACCCAGAGCATGCACTTGACTGCTTTGAAGACAAATAGCAGTGAATTACATAGCCACACCACCCTGACCATCTACACCACACTGGGTTCATATGAGTAGTATAGCAGTTACCCAAACCACACACCCTCGTTCGCTCGCCGGATGGTGTGGCATAAAGATTAAAGCTGGTGGAACTATACTTTATATCAAATAAGGTTGAGTGGGCAAAGCATTTTCTTTCTTTGTCAAGTCGATCTTAACGAATGGGAAGGGATTTCTCTGGCCATTTCTGGGTTGTAAAGGTTTCCATCTTAGACAGATGTAATATATAGTGATTTGTTAAAAAGGGGTGTTGGGTGATTCCATCATGACAAGTTTCCGTCTTTGACAGGTTTCTATTACGGCAGTTCGACTGTATATTACAGTCAAAAACAAAAAATACATTTATAACTATGACTGTCACAGCAAGATCAATTCTTGTCAACTTGACACAATTGGTATCATTTTGTAGTGTTAGTGGTCTAGCGGTTAGACTTGGGCTCATAAAAGAAAGGTAGTGGATTCAAACCCTATGTGTCCTCAAGAAAGGCATTTTACATAAATTTTCCTCACTTCACCCAGGTAGGAATGGGTTCAACGTTGCAGGCAGCAAAAGGTTTTGTCAGTTTGTTAGTGTTTAAATGCTTAATCAGCTGCTTGCTGACAACGTCTCTGATGGTCTACACTCTGCTGGAGTAGTAACATAGATTGTGAAGCGAATAGCCCTTGCTGTTGAGCTACACAAGCGACATTTATTATCAATTATTATCATCATTTTATAATTTGTTGTAATCAATCTGTCAGAGCCAGAATGTAGTCCAACATAAAGTTCATGGTCCACAACCTCAGATACTTCAAACAGAGTTCACATAGGGGGCCCTCCTGTGTGGTGGTTACAGTGTTCACACCTCATTCAATAGGTCCTGGGTTCAAATCCAGACAGCAATGAAAAATTTTTCTTCTCTAAAATGTTCTCCTTTCACCTCCACTTTCTGCCCCCACCCCTTCACCTCCTTTGTCCCCCTCCTCTGGGCTCCTGACTCTTTATGCAGCCTTTCTACTGCTACTCCTTAGCTCTTTCTTACTGCTGTCTTTCAGCCACATCCCTGATCTATGGTAAGTAAGATCTAACACCTAGCCTTCTCAGACAAGGGCGAAAACTCTCGGAGGGCCTGTGTACAGGTTAGACAAGTTAAAGATCGCTTGGTGGTCCAATATCGATAAGAGTAGACGTCAACTGCCATCTGCAGAAAATTCAAAATTCCCTACCAACTGAAAATGTTGAACACTTTGCCCCCACGGGACGCCGATCGGCAGCGGTAAGAGGCCGTCCCTTTTCCCCACGGGGCACCGGTGTGATATAGCGCGTTCCACACCTGTATCCTGGTCCGTGGGGATAAGTGTTGCGCACTCTGCAAGCTACATGGGTGGAAAGTGTTAATGTGCCCCCACGCAGTCATTCTGATCTTATGCAGTTGCAAGCGCCGTAAACCACTTACCAAAAAAAAAAATTCACATAATGAAACAAAAGAGTTTATTACTCTTCGTGCCATTTGCAATAGTTAAATGTTGTTTACAGTTTTTAACTGTTGGAAAAGGTTGTTTTAGCATATGGGACGAAGAAAGAAGTTCCCAGAAGTCTAAGTCTAATTTATAAAATTATGGTTCAACAGCTCACCTTCCCCCAATCTCGGTTGCTTGTGCTATTAGCTGATGCCATCTTAGACTTCTTTTTACTGGCCTTCAGCTTTTCACCAATTCGAACAATGGAAGTTTCATCATTCTTACATTGAGGACAATACCTGAAATGCAGACAAATACAAAAGCTCTCTCAGAAAATAAAAAAGCAAATCTTCATTAACTTTTAAGAACTGGCTGCAAAACAAATAGGTCAAATATAGAATTTTCAAAACCTTGAGAGCTTTTCTTTCATTGCTATACTTTAACAAAGAATGCAAAAAGACAATAGAAAAATAGGAAATCACCAAAGTCACAAAATTTTAAGTGATTCTAAAGAGGCAGTGTATCTGACAAATTTGTAATAAATGTAAAGCAAAAATCCAAATTCTCAGACTCCCTTACTCTTTTTACTATCTAAATGAGCATAACAATACTGGCACTTGTCTCACTCTCTCTCTAAAGCCTAAAGATATCTATTCTTGTCTTACAATCATTACCATTCATCTTCCTCGGGCACAGTTTCAAGTGGTGGGTTCAGACAATACAAGTGATAGGCTTGATTGCACTCATCACACAAAATTGTCTTCTCTGGGTCTTTCTTATCACCACACATGAGGCAACCACAATGCTTGCATTTCCTACGTGGATTGTCGTTACACTTGTCACACTCAGGTTTGTTCTCCCCTGTCAAAGACAGAAACAAAACATTAATGCAAAAATTAAATTTTGACGAAAACTGATTTTTTTCCCCCATGATGCAAACAAAGCCAGGTCCAGTACAGCTTAAGTGTTGCACGTATAAATAAGACTGCCCAGGAAGGAGAAAGCAAAGAAAAACTACATTCGTTTGGGAACTCTACATTTTTTGACAAAAGATATACCAAAGAAACTTCCACAAACAAAAGTTTAGTATTCAATCAAATTAATATTTCATTCATAATCTGCTAAAATCTACAGAAACATGATAAATATTTTTTGGGAAAAAGGCAGTTTCTCAAGTCTTGTTGGCCTTACCAAAAGGTAACTCTATGGTTCAAAGCATCAAAGTCATGTGCACCTTTTAATATCAAAACACTATAACTTTGTGATTTGCCTTACAATCAGTCAGCAGCATTAACACTGCTTACAATCATTGAAACTCCCTAGAACCATCCCAAAACTCATATAACAAAACATAACAAATCTTAAATGGAATTAGTAAAATGACTATCATCAATCAAATGTCAAATATAAAAATCAAAATCACAAATTTACTATTACAAAATGATTTTATCGCGTATTTTATGTTACATGTCTTTCGTTATGTCAAAACTTTTTAAACTGAAAAACGAGATTGTTCTACCCTTTTACTGTAATGACTCTTATTTAGCTCTGGCCAGTACTAAATGATGTCACACATCAACGCAATAGTACTTGAAGGCGGTAGAAGTCTTTTCAGATTTAACATAGTCAAATCTGTCCAAGACAACCAATTGTCGAGGAGAATTTTGGTCATTTTTTTGACAGGTGGTATCTTGGACTGTATCATTATAATCATAAAATCTTGCACTCACTAAAATAACAAAATCAAAGAAACTTGCAATTCTTAAGGCTGTTGGGCAATTTTTTTTAGGGGAGTGATCACTTTTCCTTGAGATTGTCTTGGGCAGGTGGTCATTACAGCATAGTTAAGTAAAGACCACTAGTTTTAAATTCTTTCTAGCATAGGAACACCGTGCTGGATTTCAAAGTGTAATGTGACCCCCTTGTTCAATTTCCAATTTTTCCTTGACCCACCCTCCCCACCCCACCCCTTTCAATAATGAAACAAGAAAAGATTAACCCTTTGACTGAGCTTTAGGATTATTTCATAGAACTCGATATCCACCGACCAGTGTGACTGAACATATCCCAAACAGCAGCTAAACCCTGTATTTTATTTTGTTGATATCTCAGCTTCTACCAAGTTTTGAATAAAGAGAACATCCTTTGAAACCTTATCATTTCATCCATGAGATCATACACATATATAGACTATTTGATAGGAAGTGCAGGATCTTTAGCCAATAACAAAACAAAGTCTGCTTTCAACGTGCGAGACAAGTCAGAGCCAACACAGTGAATCGGAGCGCTTGTTCGGTTTTAATATTTTTAAGTTGTTTACGTTATAGCTTGTTCTACCCACGTCTTGTCAATGGATAAAGAAGTTATCTCTTTATTTCTCTTTCTATTGACATAAAATAGATTGATAGGAAGCACAAGTTCTGTGTATTATAACACAAAGCGAGACAGAGCCAAAGCACTGAGTCAGAGCATTTGTTCAGCCTCAGTACTTTCAAGTTATTTACATTATTATGACCTGTTCCACACATCATCTCCTCACTTCTTTCTGCCCATATATAACATTTTAGTTTTACCTCATAATAAGCAAGCAAAGGTCGTTTAAAGATTGTGACCTGTGATGCCTTGCACATGATGAAATTTTCTTAAGCATGTGAGGCACCTACAATGAGCAGTCAAGGGGTTAAGGACTCATATCTCAGAATCCCAGCAACTTCTCAACAATCCTTTGCCAACCCCCTTGGAGATTGCAACCTATGATATGGGAACCACTGCACTTGACCATATTATAAAACATACTTTTTTCCACATCATTCTTGGGGTCTGCAGCAATATCCTCCTCTGTGAGTTGGGTTCCAGGCACTTCTATACCAAATAATTCTTTGATGAACAAAAGGCGGCAATCATGAAGAGGAGTTAAGTCAGCACTGAAAACAAAAACAAAATTGTAAATAGAAAAATACTTATGAATTACACAAGATCTACAATTAATTATGCAATTAAATTCAAATCAGGTAGGCTTATTACATCGTCTTTCTCACCCAACTGAAGAATACAAGAACATTTTATAGCAATGCCAATGAAAATTTAAATTTTCACTTTTGTCCCCTTTTTTTTGGTACCTAAGAAAGAATTTTCAATTCTAAGAATTACGCTTCTTGAATTTTGAGAATCGGTTCATAAATAAAAAAGTTATGGGGTTGTAAAGGTCGGCAAAATATGGATGACCCACATATAGGAAAATACTCCTAAAAAGTGGACCACGCAGTAGCAGATTCTGTAAGAAAATCGACGATATCTCGGTAACTAATCGGAGTGTTCGAGAGAAACTTGGCTACCCGATGTGTTTTTGAGTGTAGAAATCATTTCTGCAGTCAGATTTACTACCAATTTCGTAGTTATTTTGTTATAATTAAAATTGTGGTGTACATATTACGATTTTGCGAAAAAGGGGTGTCGAGATGAGTCTATTTTATTTATAGCATCGTATCACAACATGGGATCTTTAAGAATATATGTCGGCAGCGTGACTAAATAATTGCAAAGCTTTTTATGATGACTTTTGACCATGCCAACCTTAAAAGATAAGTTAATTCAATCTAGCATGCCGTACAATTAAAAATTCTTTTTGCCCGTTGAGACGCGAACACCCCGAGACGAGATAACCTCACCTCGGAATACCCCCATAGCGATGTTACAGGGGAATAGAGAGAAAAACAACCGGATGCGCGCGCCCGCCATTGCCCTATTTCAAGTGACCAATGAACGGCCCCGGAATAGTCATGCGGGGATTTGTAGGTCACATACATTTGCCGCGAGAGTGAGGGGAAAATGGCCGGTCTCCGTGCGAAGCCGCTTTGGATAGGGGGGTAGTCGTGCATTTATGATCGGGTCTAAACAACTACTTGACACAGAACGTTCAAATTTGACACACTATAGAGGATAGATAGATCTATTACCATCTCGGCGTTGAAATTCAAACTCCTTATAGTTTTCGGTGTACACGATACGAAAGTGTTCCCGACACCAAAAGTATAGGTTAATTTATGTGTACGAACTTCAACGTCCACATATCATTAGTTTGCCCTATTTTCTGATTGGTTGCCGAGTTTCATTCGGATTGGTTCGAAAATAGAGCAGACCGAGGTTGACAAAGTTAGTCACCTACGCTTCGGCCGGGTCCGCAAAATCGCCCGTAAACGGGGACCAAATTTTCGCCTCGCGGGAAAGCCCGATTGGCATTGCTACATTTTACTGATTCGCATCAATCTGAAGGGCACAAGCTCAACAGCTACTAGAATTTCAACATTTATCAGCTTTTAATTTATATACAATGAATCAGGGTCTTTCTGAAGGATTAACAAAAGATCCGGAGACATCTAATTTTTCAGGGTTTTAATGACTGGATTAAAGCTAGTGAAGTTTTTGTCACAGTATATTTCTGAAATTCCGGCCAGTTAACACTGAACTCCTGGTTTCTGCTGAAAACCATTATCATCCGTCTATATTTTCGATACTTCAGAACAAGTCAAACAAACTAAACAAATAAAGAAGCTAAATAAAAGCCAAAACATTTTCACATATACATATATATCTATCCACCTACCCAATATATACAGTTGCAACAAGTTCTTTCACTGTGCGGGTATCTTTCTTGTCGGTGACACAGCAGTCGTACCAGAACCCCCTTGTGTCTGGCTCTTCGTAGTTATAGTTGGCCATTATGTGTTGACCAATCTGAACATCAGAGAAAGGCAAGAGGGTTCTGGCACGAGGTCGGATTTCAGTGCTGAGCACCATAAGAACATCTTCAGGATACCTGCATAAGACAAAAGCAAAGTAAAAATCCCTTGGAATTCTAGACAAGGGGAAAATTCCAGTCAAAAAGGAAACTTGTTTAATATGTTTACACTATGCGGTCACTTGGCGCAATAACGCACTGCTGAAAATTATCCGTTTCGGTCACCTCTGTGCCAGGCTCAAGAAGTCAGTTGAAGGGTGAACAGATGGGATATTTTGTACTGCTGGCTGGGTGACTGCAAAGTGTTAAGTCATTCTGATCTCATGTCCAAAACATCAATATTTTTCTAGATTTCTTTCTACTTTCTGAGTCAATCACCAATGTAGCTGAAAAACATTTAGTGAGGTAAAAATCTGATATAGAATAATAAAAAATGACAGCATATATCTATTACTGAAATTGAAAATCAGCAAAACTCAATTTGAGAAAGGTGTGCAAGAGCAGTCTCCACATCTCACAGCTATCTTTCAAAACAAACCTTAAAAAGATTCTCTTCATTAAATAATTTTGGAGAAAAACAGTCAAGAAAGCAAGGTCAAATAAAGGCGAGTCAACCCTTAGATTGACCCTAACAAACTAGGTTCCAGTGTAAAGCAAGGACCTGGGAAGTTAGAAATCTGGTAAACATTGTCACACATGATAATGAAAATGAGCAGTAGCCTTTTAACTGTACAATTCAACATTCAAATCAAATGACAATAATTAAAAGAAAAAAAGAACCCCTTTTCTAAAGCTTCAAATTATAGATCTTTAAGCAGAAAGGCATAGCTGTATACTGACCCTGAGGGTGAATTCAGTGTCCAAACATTTACTACAGTCGAACCTGTATAAGACGGAATCGCAAGGGAGCCAGAAAAAAATTCTGTCTTAGACACATTTTCCATCTTAGGGGAATTTAGATGGAGGTTTGGGGGGGAGGGGGGCCAGCCGGTGGGATCAAGGATCGCTTGTCCGATCGGCAAGCAGTGGTCAAAACTTCACACCTTTCAATTGCTATCCTATCTGATAATGACATGGATCAGTCTTACTTATCCAATTACCACCAGTGCTTTCCTTTCATAGGACCACTGCTTGATCTATTAAAAACAAACGTTTCTCCTTTGATTCCACCCTTAGCCCCCACCCACCATCGACTGACCGTACGATCAGGGCGGCAGGCATTGGTCAATCTAATTTCACACCTTTGGCTTCTGGCTACTCAGGAAAGTTTCGGTAGTGGCTCGCTACTCGAGCACTCTCACGGGAAGTCGTGAGATTTCACACCCACACTACCCTGACCATCTGCATCGCTCAGGGCTCACATGATGGGTAACATCTACCCCCAAATTGCACCCCTACTCCCCTTCTTCGCCTAGCGGCATGGCCATAGTGTTAAGTTTAAAGCCGGCAGAACCAAATTTGCGAGTTTTGTTTCAAATCAGGGTTGAGCAAGCAAAGCATTTTCCTTCTTAGACAGGTGAAACCCTCGAAAGGGAGCGGATTTTTCTTTCCATTTCCGCGTTGGACAGGTTTCCATTTTATACAGGTAATTAAAGAGGAAAATATCAAGGGGGGAGCGGGGAGATTCCGTTAAGACAGGTTTCCGTTAAGGCGGGTTCAACTGTATAAAAGTGCACAGTACATCATACAAATGCAAGTTCTTGAGGGATTATCCAAACTGTAAAACTTATCTTTTAAATCTAAAGCAATTGAAAGCATACTTACTTTTCAAAACATATATGATATGAAAATCCATCTGGAACACCTTGATGAGGAAATTTTGGCACTTCACTAGATGAATTTGATGATGATGCATTTCCTGAAGGCGAAAGAGTGTCAGTCACCACTTTATCACTAGAACCTCCAAACTCCATGGGTTCATCAGTACTCTGAGCACAATTGTCTTTTGAAGTCTTTTCTGCAGCAATGTGAGATTTCAAGGGATTAAAAGAACTATTCTCTAGTCTTTCTCTGATCTTTTCATGATAGCCTTCTTCCACCTTGACAATTTTTGCTTCAAACCATGCTCCCATCGTGACATCACGAGCATCAATAATATCGTCAACCTGAAAGCAGAATGAAAGGAAAGAGAAATAAAAGGCTGAAAAAGAAATGCAGACTTTTATAAACTCATTACACGTTATAACAGCATCAAGACCCTTCTGTAACATATCGTTTCCGTTGTGATAAGACTGGGTAACTCCATATAAAAGAGTAAGTTTTACAGAAGCAAGAAACTTACTTAATTTCCTCCTGCAGAAACCTGGCAGCCAGCAGGTATTCAAATTAATTTGAGAATTGTTTTTTAAAAGTTTTACAATTCATACCTTATAAATGTTTCTGCAGTCGCCAAGAACTACCTGGCTTGTGGATGCTTGGAGCTCAGCTTCATCAGGCTGCAAAAATGAAGAAATAAACCTCAATTATAGTCAAAGGAAGAAATGTAAAGTAAACTTTATCCAAGAGTATCTAATTACATTAATCTTTCAATTTCATCACACTGACTGGAATTCAATCCATGGGTGACAGTCAATCCGAGGGTTAAATTTACCCAGATTATAAGACCTGCCTTTTATGGTTCTCACTCTACAAATATATGACAGGTCTTGTCTTCTATAAAAAAAAGACCCTTATATTTATTACTAAATTCCCCAGCCCATCTGTCATAAATGAATCATTCCTATCACAGGGGGTTCAATGGTCAGTACACCTTTCAGTAAGCATGCCTCACTCTGAGCCAATGAAATTGTTTATTCAAACCCACAATTACATATTTTCACACCTTCACAGAGATACTTTCTTGGCAAGGTGATTTTTTAGACAAGTGCATGTAAAAAAAAGATCAAATGTCATTTCATTCTCATATTTTCTACCATAGCATGTCGGGATATTATACATTCATTGCAGTCTTCCCACAGGCGCAAAAACACTTTTTTAGATTCAATAGACAAGACATTTTTTAAACTGATAAAAGACTATTTTCACCTCTTTATTCTCTTTGTCAGAAATGCTCCCATCATCTGAGGCAGGCTTCTCACAACTTGCACTTGCATCTTCGACTGAATCTTTAGTTTCAGAGTCAGACTTCTGGGAATCAGCAGACACATCCTTTCGCACCAGGAGTTGAATAAGATCATTCAGGCCAACATCATAATCAAAGAGTGAATGGCCATCTTCCATCTGCAGACAAAATTAAGGATAAAAGAAAGGTTATTATATTAATATATAAATAACTCATTTCCTGAAAAATAAAAGCAGTCACTGAGACATTGTTCTTTTCGATGAATATTCAAACTTTGTGAATGGAAAAGACTGTCTTTTCATAACCATCCATAAGTGCGGGAAACAATTTGGTGATCATGTGACTATTAACACAACCAAAGTCAAAGCCTGCTCATTGGAAGTTAATGAGGAGTCTCCTGGTGAAATCACATAGATAGTCTGCAGTCCATCCAATGAAATTGGCTCTTTGTAAATAAAAGTTCATTACTCATCATCACTATCACTATCCCTAAAAGCAAAAAAAATTAAACCATCATCCAACAAATCAATCTTATATAAGGCCATTTCGGACAAAGCCAAATTCTAACCTAGGACCATTCATTGTCGGTTTTTATTTCAGTTATATATATCATTAAGTTGACCTAGTTCTAATGAATGAAGATTAGATTAACCCTGCCACAAGTTAATTACTGCCACACCTGCTTTTATAATTCAGACTCGCAATGACCTGCTTAACAAAAACTTCACTTTATTTTTGGTAATTTTTAAACCATCTTGTGCTGTTTTCTGAAAATTTTCTTTCTATATCAGTTTTTATGTTATATGCAAATTTCACCTTAAAAACCATTGCAAACCTTGACTATGAGAAATTGATGTTTTCATTCTACTTTACATTATTATATTGTCTTTATCTCTGAGGGGGGTAACCACTATGCTGGGACCCTCTTTTGGTACAAAACCTAATTAAGTGACATACATCACTAAATTGGTCATTAAATTAAAACAAGAGAACCTATCACTCCCAGTAAAAGAGACCTGTTTTCAGCGATTGCCGAAAAGTAACTTGACATCAAATGTGAAGTAGGTCTTGTCGTATGGATGTGAGATATGGAACGCATCTCAAGACTTGCATAAAAAAGGATCCAGATTTTTTTCTTGAACAAGAAAAGTCTTTACTAAGGAAGTTACAGAAGATAAGATGGACAAACAGGGTCACCAACAAGATAGTATTAAGAAGAATGAGACAGAACCCAGTCAGAGATGAGGTGGGAAGAAGATGGTGGCGATGGCTGGGTTGGAATACTCTCAGGAAGTCAAAGTCAAGTTGCTGCATAACAAGGAAAGTGTTAGATTGGAACCCACAGGTTAAAAGATCAAGGGGAAGACTGCGACGAACCTGGAAAAGAGTCACAGAAATAGATATACAGAAAAGTGGGGAGACATGGAATGACATCAAGCCGCTAGCCCAGGAAGGGAAAGGTGGGAAGTGTAATTGTTCCTGGCCTATATCCTGATCCAGGGTGAGAAAGGCAATGATGATGATGAATTTTACTTTAAAGTTGTCCAAAAGGAATATGCCTGAGCCGCTCCGAGCTGCTGGGAGCAGCTTGCCTGAGATAACGAGTTAAAAGCAAATGCATTAGGCAGGCTACATTTCTACACTAAGTGTATGATTTCATCCTCATTAAAAGGACAAAGCCACTTGGATAAGTTTTTAAAAAGTGGGAGAGGGGGGTTTCTGGGGAACATAAAAAATTCCAGAATTTTACCATAATTTGGGAGGTGTTTGTGTTGAGGAATGTTGAATGCAACCAGTGCAAAGTAAAGTCTAGTAAAGTTTCAAAATGTGGGAATCTTCCAGATCTGCACATTTTATTCTCATATAATTCAGTCATCTCTTTTATTCAAACTAGGCCTCAGTTATAAAATATACGAAGTGACTATTTCTCCAACGCTCGAGAAAATAAACTGGACCTGTATTTCTCCAAAACGGTTTCCGTTCTCGAGATTTTTTGGTTATTTGTGAGATTTAGGCGTCATCTTTCATTCTGCCATTCTGCGAGGAATGGGAAGAAACATTTTTTGCATCGAATTCAATTTCAAGAGCTAGAGATTTTTTAAAGTCTAAAGTGGCTGGGGCAACGTTCCCGGACTACCCCATTTGAAAATGTCTTCAAAAGGAACGCTGCAAGAAAACAAGACTGCACAACTTTGGCAGTAACCTATTTTGCATTTAGTCACACCTAAAGCAAAAACTTACATCCATAAAAGCAAAAAAATCCCTCCACCCCCCCTTTACACACACGCACGCGCGCCACTCCATTCGTAAATACGAAAACTGTTCGGAGAAATAGAGTTCAAGTTTATTTTCCCGATCATTCGGAGAAATAGAGCAAGCCTAAAGTATATTACAGGGAGCCCAAACTCAACCCCTTAACCCTTGGCCGCTACATGATTTGTCATTATTACAGAGTCCACTAGATCTAGTAAATCATTCATACACAATGTTAAAAAAAAATTGCATGCAGATCAAGAGGATTCAAAAGCAGCTGTTTTGAGGGAAGGGTGTCGGGACATGCGACTAAACGTAGAACGACGCACCTGCCTAATTGGCGGCTACTTTAAGTAATTATGTGATGTCATCACATCCTGGGATACCCACATACTATTTTTATGTTTGTTTTTGTAAAGTGTTTTACGGCGCATACAACTGCATAAGGTCATATGAGCGCGCAGGACACACCTAATATTTTCAGTTGGTAGGAAATTTGGAATTTTGCCCTGGTGGTGGCCGAAGCCTACTACGATTTTAGACCACCAAGGGATCTTTAACGTGCGCAACTTGCACACGGGACCTCCAAGATTTTTCGCCCTTGTCCGAGAAGGCTAGGTGTAGACCTTTCCTACCATAAGACAGAAGATCAGGGGTGTGGCAGAAAGACAGCAGTAAGGAGGAGCCAAGGAGTAGCAGTAGAAAGGCTGCAGAAAGAGTCAGGAGCCCAGAGGAGGGGGCAAAGGAGGTGAAGGGGTGGGGGCAGAAAGTGGAAATGAAAGCAGACAACAGAACATTGCTAGAGAGCAGGAAAGGAGGTGAAAGGAGACAAATTTAGAGAAGAAAATTTTTCGGTCGCTACCCGCATTCGAACTCGGGACCTTTGAATGAGAGGCCAACAACTTAACCTCTAGGCCACGAGAGCCCCCATATATACTATTTATTAAAAGGCCAAGGAGATACCAAAGATTGTGTAGTAGAGAATCTTATGTTGGGTCAGTGGCTTGACGTATTATCCGTACTAATGTGTTTCGCACGGTAAATTTCACACTTGCGACTTACTGCAGCCCGTCAGCCATGCTCTACTGATTGGCTACAAGGTTTCCGGTATGTTAATATTTCGAAATTCTGGTACGGAAGTGAATCATGATGCTTGAAATTGAAACACGGTAACGCAAAGACAATAAAATGCGCGAAAATTGCCATAAAGACGCCAGAAGATTAACCGCCACCTCTCCGGGCGCGATAAACAATGCACAGAAGAGATAAAGGCAGCAGCATCATCGGAGCACCGTATCATCACATTACCGGTATCCCTGTAAAAACATAGCACCAAAGCATCGTGCCATCAAACATTCAGAAACCTACACGATCTTTGGTGCCATGCGATAGAGATAGTAGGAGGATTTGGCCTTAGAATTACTCTAAATCTAGATCTAGAGATTCTAGGCTAGATCGGTAGCAAAAAATATGTCACATAGGTTGGCCCCCTAGAGTAATAGATCTAGAATCTAGATCTAGAAGATCTAGTTAGGCAACAGCGCTTTTTCGGTAGTCTCCACCCTGCAATTGTTATTTGTGGGTTTTGGCCCCAAGAGTGGGGGTTTCAGGGGGGCTTGCCCCCCCTGCCCCCCCGCACCTAATTTATAAGGTGGGGGAGTATCCATGCCCCCCTGATTTTACCATAATTTGATGTTTTGCAGAAGTTAGGTTTGATATCTTAGCTCGCCATGCATCAATGGTATAGATCTAGAATCTAGTTCTATCTAGATGTAGATCTAGGCTCAAATAAGGGTGGCGGAACTACCGAAAAAGCACCAATGCAACTGCATGTGGGAACTCCTTGAAAATATTAGGCCTACAGTACAGTCAGTGTCTTCTCAGAACCTAGACAAGACAGGGTAGGAAGACAGCCTAATACAGTCAAACCTGCCTTAACGGAAACCTGTCTTAAAGGAATCTCCCCGCTCTCCCCTTGATACAGTCGAACCTGCCCTGACGGCCACCTCATAGATAAGACGGCCACCTGTACAAACGGCCACTTTCCATTCCCCCCCTTGCGTTTTTTCTATATAATTTAACTGTGTAAAACGGGCACCTGTCCACGCGGCCGCGGCCACCATATTTTAACACACAGGTCACCTTAGTGACTTCATTTTACGTTTTGTCATAAATTGTGCATTGGCCCCCTGGCGTTGTGGGCGAGCCGTCATAATTCAATCACCTGTCGTTGTTGTTCGGTAGTCCCTCCAACCGATCATGTCGTGTAGGCCCCTCCCACTGTTGACCAATAGCTACCAATTTTCAGCTGCTGGTGAGGTAAGCGTGTGATCCCTCATAACCCATAAATAAGCCTCGCCCAGAACTCATACACAAATCTTAAGTGAGATGAGTGGTCACTGTTTACAGAGTCTGTAACAAAGTAACAAAGGACGTCAACATGAACTTGTTACAGAAGCGTAGCTCGTTCTCCGACCCATGTGTTTGTTTTAACATGGCACTCGGTCTTCCTTGTCTGATACATTTCGTTTTATTGTCACCCTTGTGCAAAATCAGCGACAAAAAAAAAATTACAAACAAAATACAAACCAACAACAACAACACCAACAAAGACAACATAATGGGCTACTTTCGATTGGGGCCTCAGATGGGAATGGTTTGTTTTCTTTATCTTGATCAGTCCTACCTAAGACGGCCACCTGTCTTATACGGCCACTTTTCTCCTTGACAATGGGTGGCCGTCTTACACAGGTTTGACTGTATTTTCCTCTTTAATTACCTGTATAAAACGGAAACCTGACCAACGCGGAAACAGAAAGAAAAATCCACTCCCTTCCGAGGGGTTCACCTGTCTAGACGGAAAATGCTTTGCCCGCCCAGCCTTGATTTGGAACAAAACTCGCAAATTTGGTTCCGTCGGTTCTAAACTTAACGCAATGGCCATGCCGCTGGGGGAGGAAGGGGAGTAGGGGTGCAATTGGGGGGTAGATATTACCCCATCATGTATGTGAGCCCTGAGCGATGTAGATGGTCAGTGTAGTGCGGGTGTGAAATCTCACGACTGGCCGTGAGAGTGCTGGAGTAGCGAGCCACTTCGGAAACTTCCCTGGATAGCCAGGCCAAAGGTGTGAAATTAGATTGACCAATGCCTGCCGCCCTGATTGTACGGCCAGCCGAGAAGAGTTCTTCGAATCGTTGTTACATGACGGCCGTGTGGGTTGGCACTGGTGGGTGGGGCTAAGGGTGGAAGCAAAAGAGATGTTCAAACGTTTCGGTTTTTAATTTTAGGCCGTCGTTATTCGGACTCGAGTCCGAATAACATTTTTTCTTTTAACAGATCTAACGTTCCGTGCTTCCAATTTTCCGCCATTTTTTAGTTCCCCCCACACTTTATCTGCCGATCCAATGCACGCCACCTCTTTGATACCCCTCCCCCCCCCCCCCCACGTTTCCCACTTTTTTTGTTGCAGAAAAAGGTAAAATTGAAGATTAGCAGACCACCTGGCATATTATGAGCTGTGTAAAAAAAAAAAAAAAGACCGATTTGTTCAAATACACAAGCCTGTGTCATATCGATTGTTTACCAAGAAAAAGTTGTGTTGCTGTGTAGAGCTGAGCATACGGCAACTTTTGATTCCATAGACCAGCGCACAATTCATTACGTAGATCTACGTCAAGACTAGCTTAATATTGTAATAATGATCAGTTGCCAGGGAGAAAAAGACCGACGCTTATGCGACATTCAAATCCCGGACCAACCGATCGTGCCCCCCACCACCCTCCCCGACACGCACACAGCCACATGTGTGCAGGCCGCCCATCCGACCCCGACACATGCTAACGAGCTATCTTTAATTGCTTCTGATGACCTCTTGATAAATAAACATTTATTAGAAGCGCTATAACTTTTCAGGCCGGCCTCAAATTCATCATAAGATTAAAACTCGGCTCCTGCACAAAACGCCTTTTTGCCCGAAGTGATCCCGGTCTCTACCCAGCCTGAGGCGAGTCACGAGTGAGGCAGGACAGGAAGCCGGATTCACGAGTCACAGGAAGTCAGAAGTGATGTCATGCTGGACAAGAATCAGAGTCCGAATAACATTTTTTCATATTCGGACTCGAGTCCGAATAATCACTTCGTTAATTTTAATAGGTCAAACAGTGGTCCTATGAAAGGCAAACACAGGTGGTAATTGGATTGTAAGACTGACTGCATGTCATAATCAGACAGGATAGCAGTTAAGAGCTGTGAAGTTTTGACCACTGCTTGCCGTCTTACGCAGGTTCGACTGTGTAACGGGGTGCCCATTACGGCAGGGCGGGTTGACCGCCCAACTCTAAAAAAAAGTTGCCTGAAAACAAACGCGTTCGTTTTTAAGTCTATGAGCCGTGCCTGACTCGTTGACTCCATAAGAAACATAGGCGAATGAGTCAGGCAATCAGCCCGACCCGCCGTAATTGCAATGGCAATGGGCACCCCATAAGCTATAAAACCAAGTCTTCCCTCCAGCCTCCAGTCAAGCCTTACCCCAGAACACCGGCTCAATCACTTCATCATACTTCTTGATGTCTGTCTTGACAATCAATTGGATCAATGACTGGTGTTGTTTACAATAAGTCCAAACTAAGTACCTGTTTTCCACGGAAGAAGAGCCTTTGCCTGCATGTTTCTGTTTCGAAGGGCTCGACCAGACGCGTCCGAAGGTCTTCGACTTTGGTAAGCTTGCTCAAGTTGTCAATGCGGACTGTCTTTGCCCCGCTGATGAGACGAACCTGTATCCACATATTGGAACCTGGGTCTTCGGTTCATACAACACTGAGGCGGTAGTTGCAACCTAATGATTCTCCTGTAATTTAGTCCAGACACCTCTAGATGCTCCCACTAAAGCCCTGTGACACACGGCATACAAACGTGCAATTGAAGAAAGAGAAGGTAGAAATAATGAATAAATGAATAGGAAACTCCCGAACGTAGAGTATACCACAGCCCAGCAGTTCCCGCAACGAATTAAATATGCCAGTTTTCGAGCTTTAAAAAACAGCCAAGATTCATAAAGTGTTTTCATATCAAAGCAAATGCTGTCCTTGAGAAGCAAGTCGAAAGCAGTAGTATAAATAAAAATAATTGTGCAATTCTTTCTGACTAAAGAAGTAATTATGCTTCCATAGTTCAAGGTTCAGAAATAGATAAAACAATTAAACATTCAATTTGGCATTTCAGCGTTTACCGGTACTTGGTGGCGGGAATTTTTCCCCGAAGTGGCTGTTGGCTATCTGTACCAAACCGTTAAAGAATTCTGGTTCTTTGTCTACCCCTGCAAAGACACATGTGTGTGTGTGTGTGTGTGTGTGTGTGTGTGTGTGTGTGTGTGTGTGTGTATGTGTGTGAGTGTGTGTGTGTGTGAGTGTGTGGCACGAATTCCGCTCTTTACAGACTTTTTCAATTCGACAACTGAAACAAAATGACGAGGCTCTGAATCGGTCTATCGACAAACCCAAGCGGCGAGAGCAGGGAGAGTTATTGATTTTACCTACAGTGTATTTATTTATTTTTATTATTCGATAATTAAGTCCGGCTTTTAAAAAGAAACAATTATATGTATAAAGATATTCTTTTTTTATTTTCTTGGGAGGAGCTGGGGGGGGGGGGGACGAGTTAAAAAGCTTAAGATTTTTTTTTAATGAAATTCGATTCAACATTTGATTTAATTAGAACAAATGATATAATATCTTGTTCGAAAATTGAAAAATCGGGTAAAAACCTTTATGTTAGATATTCATTTGCAAGTTTCTAGACGTTTTTAATTCTATGACTGTGGAATAATGTACATCACATAACTCTTCTGATTACAATTATGACGAAACCAAAATCAAATACATGGTTAAGTGTAGAGTTCCAGCATTATAAATATACTTTCCTGAAAAACACTGTCTTCAACTTTGATTTAAATTGATAAATTGAATGAGACATTTTAACGTCTAAATCCAAATTGTTCCAGAATTTTGGGGCACAGATGGAAAAGGCCCTTTCACCCAACATTACATTGTCCTGGACCTAGGCATGCAGAGTTGATGTAAAGATCTATAAATCATGATCTGACGAAGGCCTTGGATACCTTCAGTCGGGAAGGCTTATAGAAAATCTTAGCGAAGTACAGCTGCCCACCAAATTTCTTCACTATACGGTTCATCAGTTTCATGAAGGCATGATGGCTAGTGTCAAGAGTAATGACGATTTTTATATTATGTCGGAAGCCTTTCGTATGACAACTGGAGAGAAGCAGGGCTGTATTGGCGCCAATTTTATTCAGTACATGTATCACGTTCTTAGTAACGTTGCATGAAGCAGCCCAGAGATCGCCTGCTGACGTACCCGTTGATCAGGCAGGTACAGACTCGACAGTAAAGTCAAGGATCAATTCTCGCTGGCTACAGGCAAAGACAACAAGCATACAATGCATGTCTGCAAAGTGTTATTTGCATTATTTGGCGTTACTGTGTGTATTACTGCCCACGAAGAAGCCGTTATACAAAACAGTTGATTTCTTTTCTAAGGCATAGATCTATGAGAACTTAGGATTCACAATAAGTACAGCAAAGACGGAAGTTCCCTTCTATCAAATAGGCCTAACTGATGATGCACAGACTCTCCGTCCTGAAGTCAAAATATAGGCCTGCTTAACTCAACAATGTTGACAGCTTCAAATAGTATCTAATTGGTAGTTCACTGTCGTTCCATTCCTGCTTCAATAGAAAAAAGAGCTTTATCTGTACCTATGAATAATTAAATAGCTAGTGCATCCTTTAGAAAACTGGACTGTTGTGGTATCCACACACAAAGTTGAAAGTCAGTCTGTAATGCTGCGGTCTTCTCAACCCTGTTGTACAGTGCCGAGACCTGAACAGTAAACTACAGTCAGGCCAAGAAGCTCAATCATTTCCAGATGAAATGTTATAGGAGAATCCTTAGCATTAACATCGAATGGTAGGGCAACTTAAAAACCAGATCACTGAAGATCTCAAAAGGACAAATGCCGAGAGTTTTCTAAGTCTAAGCTCAAAAGCATTTAACTTCGCTGGGTTGGTCATGTCGTAAGAATGCCTGATTTCAGAATCCCAAAGCAGTAATCTACTGTCGCCAGTGCTACAAAGACAACCTTTAAAAATTGGTGTCTCAGAAGGACTTCAACATGATATGGAGAAGCGCCTAGCAGTTACTAAATGGGTAGTAGGTATGAGGTTTCATGAATAAGCCAAGAGAGAAGCCTGTAGCTAAGCATATCTTCAAGTGGAAATGTAACTTTTAAAGGTACAAAATGTGGAAAACTTCTCGAGATCTCTGCCACAATTAGGTGTCATATGCCATGGCAAAAGTCACAAGAGCCATCTTAGTCTTATCCTTCTGTTCTCTATGTGGATGCATTGGTCATCGCCAGGCATTATCAGATGAACTGCAGTAGTACATGTAGGCTACTTAATTAGGCCTACCATTATTATTATTATTATTATTATTATTATTATTATTATTATTATTATTATCATCATCATCATCATCATCATCATCATCATCATCATCATCATCATCATCATCATCATCATTATCATCATCATCATCATCATCATCATCATCATCATCATCATCATCATCATCATCATCATCATCATCATCATCATCATCATTAATATTAATAATGTTACTCTTACTATTTATTATTATTATTATTATTATTATTATTATTATTATTATTATTATTATTATTATTATTATTATTATTGTGATGTCTTTTGGCATGTGAATTTAAGGTAATGGTATGTACCCGAAGACGCCGCCTTTTCGAAAGCATTAATGTAAACCAACACTGATGCACAACGAGAATTTCTTTTAGAACAGTCCCGTTACTTCAGAAAATTTTTATTCAAGACATAAGCTTACATAGCACCCTCTAAAATAGACTCAAATAGGCAAAGACACTGATATTACCACGGGTATTTTAGACGACGCTAAACCCACACCGTGAGTAGACCAAATAGATTCTATTTTTAAAATACGGAGCAGGGCCATCAATTTTTAAGGCTCGAAGTTTCACTCGAAGTTCAAATGCTCGAACATGTAAGAAAAAATAGCGGGAACGGTTCCCTCATGGCATAGGACTTGTAGGATAAATTCTATGAAAATCTGATTAAATGAAAAAATACCACCAAAGTTCACATTCACATCGGAGAGCTTTGAATAGTTACGCCTTCGATATTAATTTTAGTAGGCTAAGTATTTTACGGCACTCGCATCATAATACGGTCAGATAAGTGCCGAAGGTTAAAGATGTTACGAAAGAATAACAAACAGAAAAAGAAGGATGAGAGATAAGGATGATAGATGTTTGTCAGGGAAGAAGGAGCAGGCCTCAACACTCAACAGAGCACCCCCAACCCCCCGCCACAAAATCCATCCATCTTCTGTCAAAAGCTTGAGAAGGGAGATAGTAAGTGAACTACGAATTCTTGCTGACAGTATTCCTGTAGTTACGTCCCCTTTCCAGAACTGGACCGAACGGAAAACACATGAAGCCGATCTGCCGGGGGGCTAACTCCCTATAACTGGCTCGGCGTTCTATTGACAGCATTAACTACAAACTAGGCAGCAAAGTCAGCATTCACTCAACTGACAGTTTGATGTTGCATGATACACGTACTAAGAAGGCACATCCTGTAACTATCATCACATGGCACATGTACACACCGGTGTCTGTGGTGTCATGGCTAGGCTCTTCGACGACCCATGCAGAAAACTGTTTGATTCCCGTGTGGAAAGTCATTTTATCCAATATATACCAATCAGTTTGTCTGCTTTAGTGCTGTATTCCACTTGACCTAAGTTTGCCTGGACGGACAGGGTCGAACAAGCAAGCCCCCCCCCCCCCCCCCCCCCACCCCCGGGAAAAAATAACATTGTGTCGGTGGCGGAGCTAAACGCTTGCAATCATCAGTGGGGGAAAAGACACAGAAGCCGGGCGCGGAACCAAAATAGTCCAGACAAACAGACTTGCAAGAGGCAGGATGTCTTATTGCACAAAGGTCCGAAAAGCAACGTCCAACTACAAGATAAGCATAAAGGAAGAGCAACTAACGCTGACACCAAGACGGTCAGAGAACAAGAAGGTATAGGCTGACACTGATCATTGGCTACTAATACCAATAGAATGAGTAGTTGAGGGCTGCCACTGGCTGATTTCACTTCTCTTCAGCATTAAACGATCACCTAAGCACAATAATAATACTTCTTTTTCATTGACACTAAGGGAAGGAGGCAGGGGCATCTGGTCAGTGTCCGATGGGCCGCACTGGGATAAAGAGGGACTCTTGGTTGTACTAAAAGATGCCACGAACAACTCTAACCGTAGGAGAGCTTTCGTTTCAAGGTGTCACGTTGAATACTATTCTAGGTTAACTTTGTTTTGTTTTTCTATCTTTAAATGTTTAAAAAATCTGCTTGCAACGCTGAAAAACTGGTAATATCCAAAAGAGCATCATAAAACGCGAAGAAACGACCGGCTAGGCTTTGTACATCTTGTTTCTGAAGTTGGGTTAGATCTGACCTCAAGCGATGCGTTGGAAACTCAAATTGATGACGCAGCAAAGGTGCAGGGACCATAAAGAAGATTCAGTACTCAACTATAGAAAGAAACTACATGCAAATTCATGTTTTGCGTCACTTTGGGTTACATGTTTTAAACCAAATGGTTCGGACATCTCATGCAATTACCAACACACCAACCAGCACAACGTGCCTACATTAAAAAAATTCGACGGCAACAGGGCTAGAGGGCGACCGAGAAAGACCTGGATAGATGGAGTCAGGGAAACATTAACCACCCACGGCATCCCCCTACCCAAGCTCTCCGGCTGGCGACAGAGGGATGTTTCTTTCTTCCCGCGACATCCAAAAGGGTATAAACGGCGGATAAAACTGAAGTAAGATTACAGAAGCTGCAAGTGCTGTGGTGAGCAGCACATCGATCGTTATCTTCACAGATAAATACCATTGCAGTATTCCCGTGAACATTTGGGGTAGACGCTTCACAACAACATGAAACAGTTGGGAACTATCAGAAATCAGAGAAACTAGAAGGTGGTCAAAAGATGTTGCCTTGAAGATTTTAGGTTCATTAAATAATCAAATTTTGGCACGTTTGGTAGAAGTTATTATCAGTCTTAACGCTCAGGCTAAGGTGAAATGATATACATTGGCAGTCTCCTAAAGTTAACAACTGTTCTCACCGCACAAGTCATTGTACCGGTGTCAGGAAATATTCTCCCCCACAAAAGCGCTTTCAAAGTATCTGCAAACTGTGCAACTGGACCTGTTAACAGAGTATAGGATGGTGGAGGAGTTGCTATTGGATATACCGGTCCTATGTGATGACGTCGGAGGTTCGTAGCTGGAAAGTTTATTCAGTGGACGAAGGATACACTGGAGGAGAGCGAGTCAGGTATTTTTGTGGAAGAGTCGTCTCTCATAACATGACAAGGAAGGCACAGACTCATAGATGACGAACTGTCCACAGATGAGGCTACACCAGCTTCTGACCCGTTAATAAAGCAACGTGTTGAAAAGTACAATCAAATTTTAATTATGGACGCTTCTGAACAGCGTTAAGCAAAGATTAAGCAGCTCGGCAAAACCAAAGGTGTTTGCTGAGCCCTCATCTCTTCACCCACGAGGCTATGGAAGTGCTGCAAAAGCAAAATACGTACATAATGCCTATAGTGAGGTTTGATAATGGTGTCACTGCAGAAGAATTGCAGACAGAAGTGCGAGGTAACAGAGAACAACACACAGCATTGAAACAGTCATTCGTAGATGTTTATGCAGTGGAGGAGGACAGGTACAGCGACGGCCAATCTGAAATGAGTGAGGTCCTTTTCAAGCATTGTAGTGTGGTCAGTTCTTTCTACAAATACATAAAGCATATGCAAAGCCTGCCTCCTCCCCTCCCACTTTTTTCTGTTACAAGGTACACCTCAAGCTGAACCTCTTCGGTGATGCCCACACAAACGCTGACCCTGCCAACAAGAAGCTACATTATCTGTACTAACTTTACTAACCCTGACTGTGTCACGATTTTCATGAAGAATTTTTTTCGTTTCCGATGTTCAATGACATAAGCACATCTTAAGGTGTTCACATAATAATGTTTGTGCAGTCTGTGGAAAAGGAGATTCCAACCAAACCTGACAATGGTGATATCATTGATGCTGTTTCTTCCATAAGCAAAGAACTTCACAGGCGTCTACTTTCTTTGGTGTACTACATGTATAGGCTAACTTGTTCTGTTAGAAATAAGTTTGTTTTGATAGTGTGTGTGTGTGTGTGTGTATGTGTGTGTATGTGTGTGTGTGTGTGTGTGTGTGTGTGTGTGTGTGTATCTCACACCACCCCCCCCCCCTTCCTTGAAGAGCAACAAATGAACATGTTTGTCCAGATTTGTTGACTTTTGTAAGGAAAATACCCGAACCGGTTTTAAGACCCCGTCCACCTCCAAAAGCAGGCTAAGAGCAACTTCCAAATTTTCTAAGGACATTCATGTAAAGTATTAAAGTTACATCTAGTAGTTCTAGCGGCACCTGAGGCGATTTTGCTTTCCATGTATGAACATGAATAACGCGCATGTCTGCTAGGATTTGTGTCTGAATCAGCCCAAATTGGCCTTCACAGGCAGGGTCCAAGCAAAGATTGTCTTGAGCTCAGTAGCAGACAATCATTTGTCCAAACAACCCGCAAACAAAAACTATGCATATTGCGTCGATATTGGCGCTAAACATCAAAATCTCTCCCCTAAGAACTATTTATATACGATCAAATTATGTCAAAGATTAATCTGTATTTTTCAGAGAAAAAAAAAACAATCTGAAGCAAAAAGAGACTGGATTAAAAGAGAGGGATTCTTGACTTTTATTATTGAAATGAAACATAAACGAATGTTCAAAATAGAAGCATTTTCTTTTAACATAATTTAATTTTGTTCTGTAGGATTCATCATATAAGAATCCTTGAATCGCCATTGATTCCGCTGCACATCCATGGTCTTTTGATTCTTTAATAATGTGCTCTGTAGCTTGTAGTTGGAATGTGCAGTTTTGAATCTATTCTCTTCATAAAACCTACATGAACAACGCACACACATGTATGTGCAAGCACTTTTATTGCCACGATATCTGTTTTTACTTTCAGACAATGTCAAATAAATATATTTCTTCATAGAAAGAACAATTCAAATAACACGAATAAATTAGCATAGCCCTCACGGGGGCTAGTCACACAGCCAATGAAATGTAGTATCTCGATCAATCAATAACTCAATATTAAATAGCTTAAAACATGTAGCGTTTTTCTCCTTTTTTTGGTACAACATAATGCATAGGTTGCTTTTTTTCAATTGGAAAGTAGTAAAGAAATCACAGTCTTACATCAAATGCAAATTGAGCATCAAACAACAAGGTTGCAATCCTGCAGCAGAAATAATCCATCCACACACACACACATTCAGAAGACTGACAAGTACCATACTGCATCAAATGGTGATTAAAGTGTTGATACCTGTTTTGCCAGCTTAGTGTTTACAAAAATAAATAAAGCAATTAATGCTGCATACACATCGGTGGTAAATTGAATGTACAAAATGTACATAGCGAGCAGAGTGCTATCGTATACAAGCTCCAATTTCCGACTTTTGTGAGTTTCTGTCACGGCTGCCATTTTAGAAAATATTTTTTTTAAAGCTCAAAATCATTACTCTTTGTGCTTCTTGTCTAAAGAACTTCAGCTTTATTTTGATGTAACTCTCGTTTTCGCTATTGGACATTCAGTGCTTTCAAATAAAGTTAGCGCCAAAACCGGGAGAATGGAGTTATTACAAGATAACACTAAGCTCGCAACTTCTGTAATATTTTATGACAGAAAAGCAAACAAATAAACAAACGAACAAACGAAAATGAAATCCTGGTACACACATACACACACACACACACACACACACACACACACACACACACACACACACACACACACATACACACACATACACACACACACACAAACACACACACTCATATATATATATATATATATATATATATATATATATATATATATATATATATATTATGTATACACACACATACACACACACACACACACACACACACACACACACACACACACACACACACACACACACACACACACACACACACACACACACACATATTGTACTATTATGTAAAGTCAGCACTCTAAGGAGGTGCCTTTGGTCGTCAAGCCGGACTTTGGTAGTTTGTCCTAGCTTGGGGTCTCCTATAATAAACATGGAATGGTCAGCATTATTCAATCACTTTTATATGGACTCTCGGGTTCGAGTAAACACTTAATAAAACTTCAAGTTGTCTTCAGTTTTACCAGCGATCCTAATAATAATAGGTGCTATAGATACCGGGGCCTGGCGCAATGGCTAGGGCCTTCTGCCTTTGTACGCAGAGGACATTTCAATTCCCATGTAGATATATTATGTAGAGTATCTCTGCCTGGCTTGGGGATACTGTATCCCACTCAGCTTGACAGGCAGGATTGTTTGTAGCAGCCCGCCCCCTGAAGAATCTAGATTGTGTCGACTGGGGTGCAAAAAATTTAATCAGTCAAAATCAGTAACAGGATAATAAGCATTCAACAAATGTACTCTCCTTGGCATTGAGTAGGTGAGTGTATTTATAGAAACTTTAAATAGAGGCAGGAGTCATATAGCACAAAGCCGTTGAAAGGATATATTTATCAGGAAATAACAATGCTCTTTCATATCGTCCACTCTCTATTGACAATAGTACAATGAATCATCGGGTCACGAATAGCTCAAACATAAATTATGACACCCCTGATAATGTTTTCGATATGAATATGCACGTGGAGTGGAAAAGAGATTCATTTATGCTGAATATATTCATTGCATTATAATAGTGGCCTCATAACTATTGTTATAATAATTATTGACTTAATAGAATTCTTTTTTTTAAAGCTTACGTGCTGTACAAGGTTATCGAACGGGTTTTTTTATGTACTCAAATACACGTTAACCTATCGTGTAACATATTTTTGTCAGGAGGAAACTCGTAAAACACTGCCTCTCCAACTCACATAGATTATTTATTGGTGGTCTCATTCAATCTAAATTACTTCTAAATTTAAAGGCTTTTGGACTGATGACCTAGAGATTAGACAGAATTTGGAAGCTAAATTGCTGGGGGGGGGGGGGGCAACAAAAACAACATCCCAGCTTGCATACACCCAGTTTATCAAACAATGTGAAATCTTACAAAACCTGGGGATTCTCGTGTGTGAACAACCAGAACAAAGCCAGATACTGGTTTTCTGACCTAAAGCAACTGTATTTGGGTGACAATTTAGAGCCCTGAAAAATAGATATACGCTTTACTGATGGTTTTTCACTACGCATGCACATTTTAAAAAAGAAATAGTATCAACTTGATCATCCAATCTTTGGATTATATTTTTAGACTAAAGGCGATACTTTATTATGATATGAAGGAACAAGGTGCACAGTTATGCCTTCAACAATCTGGAAACACAAGTTATGATTAGTACACGAAGATGTTTTCTTTTTTAAAAAGATTTCTTTAATTGATAATGAAAGCTGAAATGTTCAATAATACTACAAACCTACACGCTCATCCATACACATACACACGCGCTCGAGCGCGCACACACATACTTATATACATAAACACGCACACACTCACACGTGTGTGTATATTATGTGTGTGTATGTATATATGAATGTGTTTGTGTGTTTGTGTGTGTGTGTGTGTGTGTGAGAGAGAGAGAGAGAGAGAGAGAGAGAGAGAGAGAGAGAGAGAGAGAATTTTGTTGGGCATGATGTATGACAACGAGAGTGCAATTTAGTTTCAGCGCTAAATGTATAGCATACTCATTAACATAAAAAGGGAATAAACAATTTGATACTGTTCTTAAATTCATCAAGTCTCTATGGATGAGTGATCGTTATTTCAAATCAACAATAGATGTCATAATGAGGCCAGGTTAAGAAATTGATAAAATTTAAATTGATAACAAAATTCACACATGTACGAAATCATACATTATGATTGGTAAAGTATTTAAGTGGACAATAAGTAGGAGAGCCAGTCTATAAATATTTGGCTGATACAACTTGATTTTCTTTCAGCTTACCGCCTTAGATGTTACAATGGATGTACGTACGTGAATGCTGTAACTCGTGGCAAATTACAAAAGAAGACAAAAAAGTAGACTACATTAACTGTCTCAGACAAATAAACAATGACTGTTAGATAGGTTACCAGGCTGATTATAAACAAGTCATAGAAAAAGAATATTTTAAAAGATGATTACTTTAGCATGTAAGTACAGGCCTACAAACAGAAACAGACGTGTACAACCAGAGAAAACAATAAGACATTTTTTTAAGGGGGAGATGCAAAAACAGGAAAATATATGCTTATTCTGTAATATTCCACAGCCAGTTGCCGATCTGGGTCCACACAGCCAGATCATTCGATAAGAACGGTCTCTGGCCTATGTATAGTTCTTAGTTATTAAGCGAACAATACATGATCTATCTTACATTGGAAGTTTTTTGTCATCCATTTGTGAATGGGAAGCTTTTTCTAAGCCTCCTGAAAAGAGCTGGACTGTCATTGTGTATTTAATCTTTCCTGGCTACAAGACCTCCAAGCTGACACCAAAAGTCTGTGATTGATCCTTGGCTCTAAACTGAAAAGAAAACCCAAGACTGAGGACTCCCGAGGAAATTATTTGTTGTCGACCTCAAGGAGAAACGCCCGTATTATTAACCTCGAAAAGAAAGTACATGTACGATGCACGTAGTATTCACCACCGTGGCGGACTGAGAGTTCTCATGAGTCTGCTATTGTCAACAGGAAAACGCCTGACATCGGACAGCCGCGAGCCTGGCTTGGTCCGACGTGAAAGACGCCCGCCGTGAGCCACTGGGAGACTCCTTACGTAGAGCGCTTGACCCGGATACAGCAGCAAATTGTTCAGTTTCGTGTTGTTAGGATCGTTCAGCCACGGTGCCTCTCGGTGTTTTTCCCGGCTCACACGGTCCATCAGGCTGGCTCTGTCTTCCTGAACGGGCACCAGTGCTTGTCGGATGTTGACCAATTCGTCCCTCTGGTCACGGAGGTCCTGCTCCAGCCGCTCGCAGTCGTCCTGGAGTTTATTGGTGCTGTGGATTACACTGGGCCGGACGTACATTTCCACATTCAGGTCGTCTGCTATTAGGTCTCGCTGATATCCCAGAGTTGCCAGTTTGCGTTCAGTCAGAAAACGTTGGAGTTTATTTGACTCGAAACAGTACTTAAGTCTGTGCATTTCTCTCAGGTTTCGACTTTTTACCACCTCCGCCAGTCTGGGGGCAAAGGTTTCTCTTTCTTTATTCAACTTATCCAGCTTTTTACGCAGTTTATCGATATGGCTCTCTAAGTTGAACACGTTGAAGGTCAGTTTGTCCGGACGCCCTTCCTTCTCCATCAAACGACTTAGCTCATTTGTTTCCCTTTCGAGCTTCCGTTCACCCCTGGCAATGTTGTCTCCCAAACAGGCTAACCGTTCCTTCAATTTTTTCTCAATGCCAGATAACTTATCCAGTTTAACGCCAACATCTTTCGTTCTCTGGTCGTCAAGATCAAGCCAGCGGTTGGCCAGCCAAGCCGCCTTTTTCAGCTTGACTAAGATGTCTGGTACTAGCCTTATGAGGTTCTCAGTACCAAAGTCCATGTCAAGATGCTCCACCATCTTTCCACTTTCTTCGCTGTAGAATTCTGGATCGATCTCGTCCTCTTCGTCAAAGAGGTACTCTAGCTGATCTTTGACGAAGGACAAACGTTGAGCGATTTTGTCCATGTCCGACGTGTCATAGATTGACTTAATGTCTTTGTACTCCTTGCTGAGCTGAAGCAGCGAAGCTTTTGACTGTTTCTGAAGCTGAGCACAATCGCCTACACTGTCACAGTCCGCCTCGTCAATCGTGCTCATGCTCTCACTCCCAGAAAACTGACTCAGTTTGGAGAAAGCCGAAGACATCGTATTAGTCCTACCCGTAGCGATGAGAAAGTTGTTATCATAAAAGTATTTGTACAAAGGTGAGAAAATTTTATCGTTGAAGTTCATGTAAAGTTCTTGCAAGTAATCCATAAAGTCAAAGAACCAAACAAAGTACTGTACACTACGAGTTGCCATCGCACACTGAGAAGCTTGAGCGAAATAGAGCGAGCCGTCCTGACGGAGCGAAGCACGACGTAGTACTTGCTGAACTGTGGATCTCAGCCGAGAGATTGTGAAGTTTGGGAGTTCTCTCTTCAACGCCTCCTCTACGTCAAGCTCAGAGAAGACTTCCCGAACCTCGGGCGTCTTAGAACCAGTCTCTGAAGATCGCCTGTCTTCAACAGTCCTGTTTTTCGTGTGAGGCTTTAGAGCTGACAGTGAAGTGAGGATTCTCAGGCAGGCCAAGGTCAGTTCAGGTTTGAAGTGGTCAAAGCAGAGCAGGACTTTCTGTTGGAAAGCGACGACCAGTTTGTGCATCATCTGGCTACGTTGAGATTCGTCCAGCAGCAAAAGACGCATCTGAGAATGGAAATAATATGTGTCGTTAAGTAAGAGTTGTTATATGATGCAGACTGTCATGTCCAAATTGTGTTAGATGTCAAATGCGCTGGCTTTGAAGGTATCTACGTTTGCGAGCTTTAAGCAAGTTGATTTTTGTGAATGCATGTGTGCTTGTCTATGTGAAAATTGTGTGGGTGAGTGCATGTGTGTGTGTGTGTGTGTGTGTGCGTGCGTGTGTGTGTG